TTAGGTTAGGGTAGGGATAGGTTAGGTTAGGTTAGGTTAGGTTAGGTTAGGTTAGGTTAAGTTAGGTTAGGTTAATGTATTTCGTTAAGTTTAGTATTGATTTGAACATTTTTGTGACGATTCGACACTTATGGCCACAATTCGTCACGCCGTTACAGTACGTCACGACCAGTCACGCTTTGTCACGCATGGTCACGCTTTGTTTAAATTCGCAATTTTACGACACTACTGGCCACATTTCGTTACGCGTTAACAGTAAACCACGCATAGTCTCGCTTAGTCACGCTTTGTCATGCATGGTCACGCTTTGTATAATTCGTCATTTTCCGACCCTTCTGGTCACATCTCGTCACGCCTTTACAGTAAATCACGCCTAGTCACGCTTTGTCACGCTCAGTGACGCATGGTCACGATTTGTAAAACTTCGTCACATTACGACACTTATGTTGATCCCTTGTCACGACGTGAACGCTAGGCGACGCATATACACGCACTGTCACGCTTGAGCACGCGTGATCACATGTCACGTTTCAGCACGTCTAACTTATGTTACGTACGGTAGGGTTATTCTTGACGATATTGCAATAGGTTAGATGTAACTAGTAGTTAGGTTAGCATGTGTTGGGTTACGTTAGTTTAGGTTAGGTTAGGTTAGGTTTGTGTATTTTGTTACGTTTAGTATTGTTTTGAACTTTTTTGTGACGATTCGACACTTATGGTCACGATTCGTCAAGCCGTTACAGTACGTCACGCTTTGTCACGCATGGTCACGATTTGTTTAAATTCTTCATCTTTCTTCTCTTCTGGCCACATTTCGCCACGCCTTTATAGTAATTCACGCTTAGTCACGTTTGCTCACGCTTTGTAGATCTTCGTCATAATTGGACACTTATGGTAATCTATTGTCACGACTAAGATTAGTCGGTTTTAAAAACCGGGTTTTTAAAACCGTTTTTTTTATAAATTTGTAAAATTCGAAAATCGTTTTTTAAAATTTAAAAAACCGGTTTCATATACTAGAATTAATATGGCAAAATTAGTTAATCAATTAATTAACGACGTTAATATTTTGACTTGAAATCGCCTCGGCCACAAGCATATTGTAGTAAAACTAATCTTCATGAGTCAGGCGAATGTTTGACATGCAAATCCACAAACGCATTCTATTTCTAATTTCGTGAAAAAGAGCAGTTTGGAAGAAATTATAGCAAAACTTGCTGCAATGGATTGTCCATTAATAGCATTACAACGAGCTCGTTCATACGAGAGTCTTTGCAACAACGGGGATATTCATTACAAAAAAACAACTCTCGAGTAATGGATCTCACTCATAAGTTTTATGACAATGCCAAACGTGAAATTATAAATGAATTGGATTGTATTAAGAAGATTGGGAAAAAAATTTCTATAACTTTAGATGAGTGGATTAGCAAAAGAAATCGCAGATATTTGAATATCAACGTACACCATTTTGCGGAAGATTGTAATTTGGGCTCAGTTCCAATAGCTAGTTCCTGCGATGCTAAGAAAACATTAGAATTAGTTTCTGAGAGGCTACAAATTTTTAACTTGGATCTAGCAAACGACATAGTTTATAATTCATATTTTGTAAGGATTTTAGATATTTTAGTTTTTTATTTGGTTTTGTATAGAGTATATTTCATTTTGTTATAATCCTGTAGTTCCATAAATATTAAATAAACTGAAAAAAATTAAAATAAGTATAAATATTTTTTTAATGTTTTAACTATGTTTTTTTTTTGTAGAAATTCGAAAACCGGCTTAACCTATTTTTGGAAATACTGCCATTCGAGAACCGGTTTTTTCAAAAGTCGGTTTTTATATAAACCCTACCCAGCACCCAAAATTTGCAGTGTCCTCTCATACCCTGTGGCCTGTGAATGTTGGTTACTTAACCAACACAGGCAGGCCCATGTCTGCGGCAAATGAAGTGACTTAAGTGCATGGAGAGTGGTCGGTAAACACAAATATTGTGACTATAAATGGAATAGACGAACACGTGACTGTCAATAGTTCACTATAGCACTGCACGACGAAACGCCGCACAGAGCCACTGAAAGTAAATATGACATCTGTTAGAGAGCACATAATCTAATTTATAAACAGCGCTGGGACCATTTTAAATCATTATCTAAACTGCAATGTTATGCAACAAACTTAACATGGACTAATATTTTTTCGTGCTGACTCAAACACGGCTCAAACTCTAAAAAGACGGGCCAGAGACGGCTTTATTTAAAGGTTTCCCAATCACTGAACAAAATAAAATTGCTACATCGCCTTCCATTTCCTGGAAGCTAATTCACTTTGATCGCAACAACAACGCTGCTTTGACCAGAGAAAGAAACCCATTCGGAGAGAAAATGGCGGTCTCAAAACCTCCGAAATAAATCATCGCTGTCAGATGCTAACATCAATTGAACTCAGACGCGTGGGAAAGCGAATTTATCAATCCTCTAGCGAAGGGCTGGCTTCCGGATGGAAATCGCATTACGAACCGCGTGGAAGAGGGCTAAGACAGTTCGGAGCAAATTGATTGATTTCTTTTGTTTTGAGGAATTTTAAATATGAGAAAATGAAAATGCAAGATGCCCGAGTAACGCCGTTGCAAGGGTAAGGCACGTGAAACGGCAGACTCCAGTTAAGAGTATTTTCCGTAACTACGCAGAACAGAGCCCTTCTTCAGAAGATAAAGTTTCTCAGCTGCACAAGAAACATCCTCCATCCCACAAAACCTGGACGTTCACTACCGTTTACACCAGAAAGTATTCTGGAAAGCAATTAACATGTCCCGTACAAAATGTAATATAACTTAATATCACACTCACGAGATGCGTTTTTACAAGTTGCCCCCCCCCCCCCACAAAAGTTCAAAATACCAAGTCACACCTGCCATCAGTTATATTTATCTCAAATGTTTATATTTTTTCTTATCTTGTGGAATTTGAGGTTTTCGTGACGGTGAGTCTGAAGATTGCTTTCAGAGGCCCTTGCTGCCTCTATCATCAGGGCGAGGCAGCAAGAGTCTCTGAAACGTCGGTGGACATCACCAGACTTAACGGCGCAACAACCCAAAATACAGCAATATTTCTCTTAATTTATTAAACAAAGCTTTTATTTGCATATAATATAATTATATAATTTCGAATGTTACGATCATTAGTTAATAATTAATAGAAAAGGATGTGGAAAGAGACGGTCATTGCCCAATTTAAAGTAGCTACTATCCGGGTTAATTTATGGAGGGACTGAGGAAATTTTCAAAATATCTCAGTCCGTTTGGTCGTCCTTCGACCCGAGATCCGAACTCGAAAACCGCCGAACGAAAACCAGGTGTCACTGGACCACGGCCTATTTCAGCCAGACTGAGACGGATCTCGCATTAATATCGAAGGTAATAAAACATCTGTCAATACAGTAATGGCCGGTCGCGTAAATTCCAAAGCTGCGTACGAATATGTTAATAAATCCCAGTTCCAATTATCATGACAGTCGACGCCATAAATAAATTAAAATATTTACCACCTTCTTCACAGTCTTAATTAAAGCTTGACCCAACGTATTTATCTCCGTCAGATTAATAAATATCTTTGTACGTCTTTAAATTCTCACGATGGCTCTGCGCGTTATTAGACCGGGTTGAATTAATGTGGCCCACGACTGGGGTCTAATGTGGGGGGGGGGGTGGGGAGTAGCCGAGTGAGTTTCAGTTTCTCAAGAGAGACCCTGTTCCGTGGAAGTTAGAATTCCAATTTAAAATCTGATCAAAAGTCCATTTCAGACACCTCTACATGCGGTAAAGTATAAAGTTTGTCCCACTATACGCCATGTAGGCGTTTGGGGGGAGTGGAGGTATGGCTCCTCTCTTCTTTGACCTCGACACTAGATGGGAGGTGAGCGGTCAGCATCACGCCCCGGCCGGATTTACCCCCCCCGTCGGGGATCGAACCCCGGTCGTCCAGCCCGTAGCTAGTCACTATACTGACTGAGCTATCCCGGCTCATCCTCTACATGCGGTAGGCAGGAAAAACCAAGGACGAGTCGCTCTATTTTCCTACGAAAATGTTAGAAACACGTAAAGAACCAGCAGACGGTATTCTGCTGCTTAAAGTCTCTGTTGCGCAACGTCGTTATCAAATGACGTGACTTTATCAAGATATTTGTTCACCCAACTTGATGTTTACAGTTCAACCACACGCAGTGCGAGAACCACGAACATCAGCGAACGCGTCTTAAGTGAGCGCTGCCTGCGAGTTAGTCGCACGCGGAGCTGTCGGTGGCAATGGACGGCTTTCCCGTGGCAACGATTTCGGCCGACAGCAGGAGGAACACAGAGCAAGGGTCGCCCGCACGTGCGGGTAAAGACAAGAGGAGCGGGCAGCCTCAGTACGTCGCTACCTTCGTAGGTAAGACGGCGCAGACACTGAAACTCTCATATTCGCTTCGTAAGCTTCCGTTTTTTTTAGAAATAATTTACAGAATTATAACGCACTGCCATCTGCTGCTTCGCGTTAAAGTAGAAAAATCTGTAACCATGGTAACGCCATGCAATCTGGGATGATTTCGGGAAGAATAAGAATGTTACTATTGCAGGCTCTTCGCCCGGCAACCGACGGCTCCAGCGAAGTAAGAGCATTTCTCGAATACTTTCTATGCTGTATTCATCATTTATTGCAGATACGGATCTCGTGTTGCGTAATTATAGAGACAGGAAAATTTTCCATGCACGTATTCACAGACAGAAATGTAGTTCACATGAAGTTAGTTTGTATTGCTACTTCTGAATTCTGATATGCAACGTTCTAATTCTTGTTATCACATAAAAAAGCCGCTATTTTTATAGAACACCTAATACGAGCTTCATTCAAAGTGAGAATTACATTGGACGGATACAAACCACAACTTGATTCGCTCGAAAGTTGTGGTAAACATTTGTAAGGCAGCTTTCAATGGAAATAAGTAAGACGTTGTGCTTCATAAAACATTCCACAGTTTGGACAGAAATATTTCCAATAAGCTTCTTACGGCATCTCGCAAAAATACCGACCACGAACATTTCCCAAGTTCTCCAGCATCAGAAAAGTACAGAGTTTTTCACCTTTGAGGGACGTCCTTTCAGCACATTTTAGATGCATTTCGACATGCTGTAAAGGCAAGCAATTCCTTCAGAACCCAGCACAGGGAAACATCCAAAGTAACTCCGAACAGAAACTGCGATGTCCTCAGTTACACACGAAAGAATACAACGATAAATATTCCACAGCAAAAAGTTCCGAAAAACACTTATTTTGTGTATTTTGCATAAGGAGTTTCATTCTATACAAGGCTGTGGTGTAGCATCCCGGTGTTTCGCTGAGTTCTTGGTTTCTCTGCACGTCACTTTTCACACGCTCTGTGCACCTGAACATGTTTCGATCCAGTGTGGCCATCGTCAGGTTCAATTCCCTCCTCATGTGTAATTGCACTAAGGACCCTCCCTTCGCGATGTCCGGAAATAATGACAAAAGAAAATATTAAAATTTTCAAAATTTAATTAAGTTGGTTAAAAGTTAAAATGTCAAAACGATTATAAAGTAAAATTTAAATTTGATTTTCGTCTTAGCACAGCCTGGTGAGCCCCGGTGAGCTTCCTCTGTAAACGGAACACGTGTTTTATTAGATGTGACGTAGCAGCGGATACGTATGTGTTGTTGTAGCGCGTCGTTGAAGAATGAGGGGGTGGGGGGTGGGGGTTAGCGTGCTGCTATCTATAGGGACATGTTCTAAGATTTCTGTACATCGTTCCGTAAATTATGGTCATTATGGACGATTTTGAAAGCATCTGAATGAAAATATAAAATTGATCATCACATGGCGTGCAGAAGGTAAATCCATATAAACAGTGCCGCTGAGATAAAGGGATATTTACAAAGTGTTCTCGAGCTTTGCCTTAGTCCAGGGATGTAATTGTACCGCTTTCGTATTCGTTGCAGTGAACTTGGCCACCTTCTCGTACGGAACTTGCATCGGGTGGCTTTCGCCTGCCACACCAACTCTTCAGTCGAGGGTAACTGCGGTTGGAAGAAACGATGTAACAGAAGACGACACCTCGTGGCTACGATCACTCGTGTTTTTGGGATTCCTATGCGGGATCCCGTTCTTCTGCTACGTCTCCGATAAATTTGGACGGAAAGTTGCCGGCTTGTCAACAGCCATTCCCGCCATCATCAGCTGGCTCATCATCATACTTGGTAGCAGCACGAAGCTTGTTCTCGTAGGAAGATTCTTCGCTGGTTTAAGCGCTGGCGGAGTGCTGCTTATAGTTCCCATCTACGTTGCGGAAATATCTGAAGACAGCTTGAGAGGAGCTCTCGGGACGCAGGTGGCGATCTTCGCAGACGCCGGAATCCTCTTCTCCTACGTTGTCGGTCCTTACTCCTCGTACCACGACTTCGCGATAATATGCCTCGCTGTACCTGTCACGTTCCTCGCCACTTTCCTGTGGATGCCTGAAACACCTGTCTATTTCATGGTAAAAGGCGAGTTCAAGAAAGCTAGACGTTCTCTGAGATGGTTTCGAGGAGGAAAGTCACACGACATGACAGATGAACTGACGAGGATGTCGGTGTCACTTAAGGAGACACAAGGAAGAAACTCCTCCAGGAGTCTGATAATGAATCTCTTACTAGATCGAGCAGTGAGACGAGCCCTGATTATCGGCATTGCTGTATCCACGACACAGATACTCTCTGGCCTCTACGTCATTCTGAGCTACAACGCAGCAGATGTTTCCGCGATATCACCTTTAATAGTCAGCTTAATTCTGTTGACTGCGGCCATATTAGCCTGTCTCTTGATGGACCGTGCAGGAAGAAAGCTACTTCTCGTTTCCTCGGAAATTGTGATGGGAATTTTCCTCACTTTCATGGGCGTGTATTTCTACTTAGAAGGCCAAGGTGTCGATCTGAGCAACGTCTCCTTCATCCCGGTCGTGTGCTTGGGGTTGCATCTCTTCTCCTTCGGTGCAGGCGTTGGCCCAGTGAACGTGGTGCTGCTCTCAGAAATATTCCCACCACACGTTAGAAGCGTATGTGCAAGTATCTGTATCTTCGTAATGGCGCTCTTGGCATGTGCTGTATCCGCGTTCTACAGCGACCTTAATAACGCGACAGGAATCCACGGCCCGTTTTGGTTCATTGCCGCCTGGTGCTTTCTTGGTGCAGTGTTTGCAAAACATTGTATTCCAGAAACTAAGAACATAAATGTCCACTCGATTTACGCTGAGCTGAGAGGAAGAGAATGTAGCTTAATACGAGTCAAGAAATCGTATGATATGCGGCACACATCAAACGAGTACAAATTACAGATCGCGTTGCCCAGTGAGAACTGAAAAAACCGGCGAACACGACGAATTTCAGGGCTACACAATGCTCAGACTGCCAACCCTGAGAAAGAGAAACTATGCCCACACATTTAACCCACGTGATTTTCAAAAATTAACCCTTACAAAACATTCAAAGATCATTAAGAACTTTCTCAACTGCCAGCGATGGACTTTCTTTCTAAACAAAGAATTCTTTTGCGCGTTACTTTTTTTAAATTATTGTGTATTTATAAAGTGTCATGTGGATGTACAAATTAACTTATTTTAAAAGTCAACAATCCTTGCCAGCTTTAAATACGATAAGATTAACGTAAAAGGAAAAATTTGGGGAGACGAAACATTCTCTAAGCCAGTGTAAGAATTCCCCGTCTTTCACGAAACCCGGAGTTTCATTATCGTATTCACAGTAATTTCGCCACTCGTTCTTATCCTCAACCAGATTAATCCAGTCTACACCCCACTCTATTCCGTTAAGATACATTCAGTATTATCCTTCCATTTACTCCTACGTCTTCCGAGTGGTCTCTTTCCTTCAGGTTTTTCCAAAGATGTCGGCAATTTCCATTAACCCATCGCGTGTCACATGTCATGCTTGTGTTATGATCCTTTGAGTTTATGATCCAAACAATATCTAGTAAAGAGTACACGTTATAAAGTTTCTTATCACACAGTTTTATCCATGTTGTATCCAAATATTCTCCTCAGTACCTTCTTGTCTAAAAACACGTAAATGTGAGACCACAAATAATTTCAACTTCCAAACTATCTCAAGAGCCGCTGGAAACCCTTCTGACGAAAAAAAAGAAGATATTCGAACTCTTGCCAAATTATCGAATTCGTATGAAGGTGTTTGTTTACAGCCCTAAAGGAAGAAGGCGACCACCAAAAGATATGGAAGGATAAGTCGACTAACGCGGAGATTGGAAGAAAAACCAGAACAGAAAGTTACTCACAACCCTCTGTGAGGGCCCACACAAGTAAGTCTAATCGGAAGTCTGCGGACGATGGGGCAACGGCGTCGGTCCGCTACACCACGCGGACGACGCCATCCAGAAAATAGGGCGAAGACTGCCTACCTCGTCACGGCCGGGGTATGAGTGCGACATCGCCACAGCTTAATGCGCGGTCCCAAGATTTCGCATGGCAACAGGTATTTAAAATATTCACATTCTGCAACAACACTTTTTTCAAAACGTCATTCCATAATGTATTTTTGCGTTTACAAGGTCAGAAACCTAACTTAAAACAAACTCCACGGGGCGCAGCCCTCCCTTAAAAACCAACAGCCACTCTGGTACTCGAGAACCTCCCCGTCATTTTATGAAACCCGAAGATCCGTCACTGAGATCACAATAATCCGCCACTGGTCCACACCCTCCAACACGACTTCCCTAAGATCAATTTTAATATTATCCATCTACGGACAGATCCAGACCGAAATTCTAATGCCCTGTTTGCACACAAGATGGAACTTTCGCTGAAACTGTTGAGTGGTATTTTTATTAGGACCTCGCGTTGGGTGCCACATAACGTCATATCCCTCAACGAGTACTAACCACGTCATTTTCTCAAGTAAAATCTGGCATTGTGGATGTATTACGCCGGAAACCAAGATTTCCTTATCAATACACCGAAGACACATGACCTCAGGCTCTGACAGGTTCAGGTCTTCTGAGTTGACGCGATGGAATCTTGCAGGTTTGGTTACGGAACAACGACAGTCACCTATTAGACTACACGAAGTCACAACCGGGTTCACCAAAGCAAGCGTCACAGGTAAACGGAACGTACCGCAAATTTAATAAGCGTCAGAACAAGAAGAACAACAAATCGATGTCGCAATTACAGGTTTTGTTACGAACCTTCACACGATGCGACGTTACAGCCACACGACATCACGGATCCACGCGAAATCCACTGGGAAAAAGAAAGGTGCTTAGCGGTTGAAAAGTAATTAAAGACTTTCTTTGAGCTCGTTTCCGCTGCAAAAAGGAAACAGATAACAAACAGCGTATTTACTTTGGCTTCTGAGGAGAAACGACGTAAACATCGCTTTGTTACGTAAGAGTAATTCTAGTGCTGAAGTAGACTGCGTTAATTTCATTTACAAGGATGGAGTAGTTGCTCGGTGTCTCGCTTCCTTCTCCGAATGTGCCCAGTTCGAATCTCCTTTTAAGCAATGGCTATCCAACTGGTAGGTTTAACTTTTCCTGTGTCGATATAGACTACGATCACGTGTTTGTTGCCACCTCAACACGCAGAAACATCTTATCTTAATAGAAGCTGCGTAACTTTAACTTCATATAGTGTCGTCACTTTAGTGATGTCCATAGATTTGTAATTTCAAACACTGAAAAGCAATTTATACGTGATTCTATGACGTGTATGAAAAAAACAGTCTGTCGACTGAAGCCGACATGCACGTATTGTAAATGTTGGGACTTCCAACAGGACACGAAATCTTTCATAAGGCACCACTGAAGGAACTCGCAGGACTTGTCAGTTCGAATGAATTGGGAGAGACTCAACGTTTTACTGTAAGAAATGCAACTGAAATTACAACCGGATCATACGAGTAACGAACCCTGGGCTACCGGATACAAGTCCCACGCAATCTGTCTGAACGAGCTTTCGTGCTCCTAATGTTTAATCAATGTTTTAAAATGTCCCAACTGTACAAAGAGGTGTTATAAATGTTTACACGCTGACAAGATAACACTCATATGACATTGCTTTGTGAACTTACAGCTCCATAATATCTCAACTTATTTTCAAGGTGTGACATAATCAGAGGTCCCGACCTTCACAGCGAACAATTATTTAAAACCTTCTTAGATTTGTTCTGTCTGCACTCTTGGTTCGGACGCTGTAGTGACTTCAGGCTCGCTGTACGCACATTTTACGCGTTTCCGTGTCGCTTTGGACCGCTGATGGTCAACTCCAAAGAGAGCAGAGAGATGGAAGGGGGGAAGGTGCTTCCCCAATACATGGCAGCAATAATAGGTAAGCAGCTTGGTGGTCGCAGACCACCAGTCGTAGCCAACGACCGGCCTCAAGACATTGCTTACGTCCTGACGTCGAGTCTCGATAATTAAGTGCGTAAACTACGTTTAGTCCGTTCTAAACAGAGACGCAAAAGCCGCTTCGGCAGTTTTGTTTTATAAACCATATAACATTTAACTACGCGTTGATAAGACCATTAAAAAGATTTTTCATTAAAATTTGAGGTAGTTCTCTGAACAGGGGCTATTTTGAAAGAATCGACTATTTCACTTCATTTCCTCCCAGTGCTATCACTTCTCTATAAAATCCTCGAACCAAAAGAACGAGAGAGAATTGACTGAGAAACGTCTGACCAGGCAAAACGTGTATCAGTGCCAGAGACGAGTTCCTCCATGTCCTTGTGCTTCAGAGGGATAATAAATCACTTCATAGAGCACAACACAACTGCCAGCCCGCCATCCATAAAACCCCGTTTCGCATTTGTTTCCTAAGCACACGAACCTAACACTTTCTCCTTCTGCGCAGTGAACATCGCGGCCTTCAGCAGCGGCTCCGTCGTCGGCTGGTCCTCCCCCATGCTTCCAGTGCTGCAGTCGGCCGACTCGCCGCTGGATGGAGGGCCCATCTCCAACGAGATGGGGTCCTGGCTCGGCTCCCTCATGTGCCTCGGGGGGTTGGTCGCCACGCCTCTGTACCTCTTCATTTCAGACCACTACAGCCGGAAATGCACAGGCTACCTGGTTGCTGCGCCCTTCGTCGCCTCCTGGGTCCTCGTCATCACTGCCGAGTCAGTCGCCATCCTCTGCCTCGCCCGTTTCATCGGCGGTATGGGGTCCGGCGCCATCATAGTGTTTGCTTCTCTGTATGTCAGCGAGACCGCTCAAGACACAGTCAGAGGGGCTTTAGGAAGCTACCTCACGCTCTTCACAAACGCCGGGGTACTCTTTGCGTACATCTTAGGGTCCTATGTACATTATTACACGTTTGCCTATATAGCAATGCTACTTCCGGTAATATACACTCTGGGAATGTTATGGATTCCGGAAACACCCAACTACCTCGTCAACAGAGAAAAATACTCAGAGGCGGAGCGAAGCTTGCGGTGGTTAAGAGGAAAAGACGAGAGGCTTGTTGAACTCGAACTAAACAAATTAATCATGTTCGCAAAAGAGCAGACCGACGAGAGGCTTGTTGAACTCGAACTAAGCAAATTAATCATCTTCGCAAAAGAGCAGACTGAAGCGGTGTCACTCAAAGACATGCTGTCTGCAGCTGGAACGCGCCGAGCGCTCATCATTGGCGTCGTCCTGGCAGCAAACCTCCAATTCTGCGGTATATTTGCCATCCTGAGCTACACGGTGAACATCTTCCAAGCGGCAGGCAGCGATCTGTCTCCGAACTCTGCGACTATTCTGATAGGTTCCCTGCAACTGGCTGGTTCTTATGCCTCGTCACTTCTGATAGACAAAGCTGGACGGAAAATTCTCCTGCTGATCTCAAACATTTGCATGGCGTTGTGTCTCGCTGCACTAGGCACTTATTTCTTCGTCAAACATCAAGGTTCGGACGTCAGCGACTTTGGCTGGCTACCAGTCGGCTCTCTGTCCGTCTACATAATCGCGATTGCCCTGGGAGTAGCCCCAATAACGTTCCTCATGGTGTCCGAGATATTTGAACCACGCGTTAAAGGCAGAGCCATCGCTATAATCATATCCATCATGTGGTTGTTGACGTTTCTGATAGGCAAATTCTACACAAATCTCTCCGATGTCTTAGGAATCTATGGTTGTTACTGGATGTTTTCGGTGTGTTGCGTTCTCGGCGCAATATTTACGCAGGTCTCAGTTCCAGAAACGAAAAACAGAAGTTTAGAATCCATACTGCTTGAACTCAGTGGAGGAAGGAAGGGTCAGAACCTCAAAAGCGTTCAAAGTGAAATTTCAGTCCTTTGAAATTATGTTACGTCTCTGAGAACAAACAACACGACAGTCCCAAAAAACAAAATATGCAAATATTGAGGAGAGACACGTGCCAGACGCTATACGACGAAAACACGTCGATCTGACTGACTTCAGGAACTAGATGCCAGTATGATGGGTCATCATCGCAACGCGGAGGAGCCTCTGAAGGAAAAGAGTTCAAGAGACGGCTGTTTACTAAAAACAGAAACAATGAACTTGCCGTGCCATTTAATCAACTCCTTTCATCTGTCCCTGAAGCTTTATCCAGCAGATCTGAGTGAATACTGGAGTCGTCCATTACACTGACAGACTTGAATTTCGACAAGTATTTTCTTGTGAGATATTCTCCCTTTTGATTGAAGCCGTCCGACTCGGTCACTGCATCGTACTCCGGTGTAAGATTTGCCAACAGTTACGAAAATTTAAACCATTTCGTAAGCAGAGAGAGAGTTTAGCGGGGTGGTCGGCTAAAACTGCACCAGCCTAGTCGCGAAACTACTCCTCTTTTAGTAAGCGTCAAAACCAAGAACACGCGGTTCTAAGTCCCTGTGCCTGAACTATAATTTTAAAATACATCAGTGATTAAGTTTCGGTAATGACAAGTAAACGCAAGGCACCCAAAACCCTTAACAGTGTCAACACGCCAGCAGGCTACGTGCAGAGCTTAAGGCAGGAAACTTTGTTTATGATACACTTAATGACGTTTTCAACAGTTCAGACCGCACAACGCCGAATGAAAGGGTGATTAATGAATAATGAATTTGAAATGATGTAGAAGGAAGCGGTCGTGGCCTAACTGGAGGCAGTATCCGGTCATTTTCCTGGAATAAATTAGAAAAATCACGAATACTCTCAGCCACTGTTTCAGGGTCGAGACTTGAACCCGGGACCTCCCGAACGCGAAGGAATGCTAACCAATCGATAGCGGCTTTCAGTACAAACAAACCAGCGTAAAATTGGAAGTACAGGACAAATTAATTCATTGGAACAGCAAACGAATTAATAGGAGTGAAAAAATGCACTCGTAAGCGCGGCCAGAACTTTTTAAAAGAAAACGAACGGGAATGAATGAGGACACGTTGAAGAGGAAATGTCAGCTTAATAGAAGGAATCCTTTGTTACAACAAGAACTCAGCAATGCTGCACGTGATTTGCAACGGGGAACAACATCACGTTAAATTATATTTACAAAACAATGCTCTAAGAAAGAACGTCACATTTTACTATTAATTTATAAATTATAAATTTGAATTTTTTTTATTTATTTACAGTTTACATTTAACAACGCTTATTCAGCAGCTGAGACTAGACGGCGTCGAATGAGAGAATGATAGTGAATAATGAACTGGAAGGGATACGGAAGGAGGCAAGCACTGACGATGGCTTACAAACAGCAACAAATTATTCAGGGCCACCCAAATGAGCACTCTTAAGCAGTGGGAGGTGCTTATTCGGAAGCGAGAACAGAAACGACGCAACTGAGCTTAACAAGATGGCACACAGATACCGTACTGAGTTTCTGAGCGTCGGATAATGCATCAATAATTACAGTCGGCGAGTGGCATTGTTCTGTAAACTCGGATACAGCGGCAATTTGTAATGCAAACAGACGTGAGGAGGAAACGCCTGTCATGGCACGGGCTAAACGAAAATTACAGATATATTATTACATGCCGAGAAAATATAACAAATTTATGACAGGCCACCACTGATTTTTTAAAAGTCGACGTATCAAATAAAATTTTAAGCTAAGAAGGAAAAATGCGAGCTACCCACAATCCTTTTCGACGTCTTTGTTAGAGTTTATGGCATGAATTGTCATCATTAACATATCTGCTGAGCAGCTGTTGGTTGTTTCATTACGTTATATTTTGATTTTGGGCTATCTTTGTTGGACTTGGTGTAACATTTTAATATTTTGTATGCTAACCCTTACCGTCTGTGAAACCTAATTAATATTTCAAATTGTACTACTCTGTGCTTTGTATTTTACGACGTATTCCATATCCTACAGCCAACATGGCTAACTTCCCGATCCATGGAATTTGTGTATTTACGTGTACGAGACTGTTATGGACTGGCCATGTAGCTCGGATGGAAACAATTAATGAATGCAGAATATTCGTGGGATAGCTTCTTGAAAAGAGATCACCTTAAAGACAAATAAGGAGGGTATTTTTTTTTGTAAAGTGTGCAAATGCAACTCTGGGAAACAGAGTGCGAGGAACATGTTCAACGGTGTTAGCTGTGGTAAAATTTCAACTCGTTACCACCACCAGAGTTAAGTTAGTTAGAACTGGATCCACCGATTATGGCCGCTGACCTCTAGGGACAGCCCAGTATGCGGACCACTCAATGAAGAAAGTTGTTTCCGTCGGTCAGTACAGTCTGTGGCAGTGCAGAAGTGTGGAAGCCTGATAAATGTTGTCTTGTGACTGAGTTGTGTTAACAAATGGCACCTGTTCGTTGGAGTCTCCTTTCTGGTCATTGATAACGCCTCGTATGACAAAACCACCGAAATCTAACACAAAGAAGGACGAAATGAAAGCCTGGCTATTGGAAATAAACATCCCATTTTGTGACAACTGTACGATTTAACCAAATTAAATAAATCAAAGCACAAATATTATGTTACTGATCACATTTTAGCAGACAAAGAACGTCCTGTGCTGAGACTTCCGCCGTACCTTCCCGATTTAAACCCCACTGAACTTATTTGGGCAGACGTAAAACAATGGGTTACAAGGAAGGACAAAACATTTAAGATTAGGGACGTCGAGCGTCTGTGTCGCCAGAGATTCGAAGAAATTGGACATGAGGAATGGGAGGTCACGAACTTCGTAAAAACGTTGCACTGTGTCAGCTTCGAACTTGGAAGACTTCTCCTTCCCAGAGGCCACCTGCATCGAGGTGTTAATTCGCTGCTGGGGTTAACCAATGACATCGGAGCATCACACAAACAGAACGGAACGTGGGAACGCGTGTTCAAGAAAGTTCTATGCGTCGTTGCACCTGGAAGCACTTTTCAGCACAAGGGCAGCCCCGTTGTCCTTGATTATTCGTCATTTCTTAAAGGGCTGTCGAAGCAAACACAGATTCGAGGTCAAAAGTAAAGCTGTCCTGCTTGCTACACGCCATATAGGCGCTTGGGGTGGGATTTGTCCTGGGAGGGACAAAAGAACTAACTTTTTGGAGGTCTGTGAATACACAGAGAACAACTGGAAATATTAAGAATTGTATGGGTTTTCGCATTAGTAGGTTGGCGAGACTGTATGTTTGTTATGCTCATTTTGGGCGATGTTGCCCCCTCAACTGACAGAACTACTTGTAGCCTATTTTGACGTCGTTAATAAATTTGGTTACTGCATGTAACAATTATACATCGAAGTCTGGTGATATCATCAGAGTTCCTAGTACGGTGAATTCCGGTTAATTGGGACACATCGGGACTAGAATACTTCGGCCCAATTCAGCGAAGTTCCACGTAAAGAGTAAAAAAGGTTTGTTCTTCAAGGTTTGTCCCAAACAAATGGCCCATTTAACCGGAATCTACTGTATTGTAAAATAATAAAATAATCTGTAACTTGCAACACGATGATTTCAAACTAGAATACTGCAATTTGTAAATGTAGATATGGTACACACTTAAATTAAAGAATAAAATTAATAAAAATATCTACAATTTAGAATTAAAAACCTCCGCAGGGTTGCTAACGCGTCCACAATGCCCTCTGGCAGAACAAAATACATCGACGTGCCACATGAGGACCGTGGGTTGAAAACCCCCGCGACAGACAGACACCTCAGTGCGAAAAAATAACCTCAATACGTCACTTCTAATGAAAAACGTTTGGGCATGCCGTCCCAAGAGAAGTTTATTCTATAAGCTTCGTGCAAATAACCCGGAAGGACTTGGAATTTCGCCAAGGATACAGACCTCAAAAGCCCCTTAAAAATATCTGAACGTAACAAATACGAAACATGCCGCAAAAGATAACTTCCATCTCTCAGGTTACCGTAGTTACAGTACTGATAATTTGTGGGTTGTGACTTCATGTGTTCTCGAAGGTGAATACTAAAGTTCGGGGGGAACGCTTCGCCTTCACCGTCTGACTTCTTCAGGGTGAAGATGGGAGCGATACGCTGGCTGCTTCAGGCAGATAGTAGCCACGTGCAACCATGCAGCGTCACCACTGATATTTTCACCGCCTTCAGAACTGTAGTTCGTTCATCCGCGCTAGCGACTGTCGGACACGGTCTACATGACATCAGAGCTGACCTTGGTCACGACCCAATTCAATTCCAAGTCCTATTCCCATGTATCGTATTCTTAACTGAAGGATTCATGGATATTATCACAAACGGCTGTTGAAACAGACTGGTATCTGACGGTAGTACAGACCATTAAATAAGTAGATGCATCCTTGTCCCGTCTCTGTTTTTCATTCTTATACATAATGACAAGTAGAAAATGTTTTATGTGCTCTCTCCCTCATGCCGAACCGTTTCCATGTCAGCCAGAAAACTGCTGTGATAAGACTTAATCTTAAGAAATGAGATGCATGGACAAATAAAATCACATAAAAAGGGTACGCTATGAAACACAATCTTGAGAAGTGCGTTCTTAGTTACGTCTCCTACCGTGAAAATGGACATTGTTTGTTCCTCCGAAATGTTGGTAACCATCAACAGAAGGCCTAAATTCTCATTTCAAGTAATGAAAATCTCAGACACAATCTACATTATTGACTCGAAAAAAAAATCAATATAGTATTGATCCATCAGCATCAAAAGTGATATTGACATTAATCTCTACCTTGTAATCCCACTGCTAGACTGATTATGGCATGCTACAAATTATGACTGCTGGATAATGATCGTGATTGTAATTAGTAAAAGACGTAACTTTAGCTTGCACATTATTACTAAAACTGAAGATTTTTCGCTCACCTGTGAACAGCACGTCGGCACGTTCGTCGACCGAAGGAATCACAAGTAAAGCATTACTTTCACACACACTGTAAAATATATGATAATTTACACGAGAAGCTCAGTGGTAATTGCATGTACCACCAGCTTCAACATTCAATAATTCTGTATTTTGTCCACACGGCGTATTTAAGTGTCCCGCACGATTCTCAGAACAAACGGCGATTATTTCCTGAAATAACTTTAGCCAGTTGATCTAGTTTTCTTGGCGACAAGAACTGCGTCTTTAAAAGATAATATTCAATGTAGCCACTCGTCTCAAATGAACGCAAAAGCAGCAGAATTTTGAGCAGAACGACTACCCGCCTTCCTTTCTGTCACCCGTCTGGTTTCACCGTGACAGAGTTTGGTAGTCAGCGCCGCCAACATGAATTGCAGTGGGAGAAAAATGCAGCTCAGTATTGTGGCGGGATTAATTTTCCATTCATTCATCTATTTTCCTTCAAATTTCAAAAATAATATTCGACGATGAATTATTTATTTTATATTGTAATGCTTACGACAAGCAATATTTCTAATTATTGAATAAATTATGTTGACAGCAATGATATACTATGTAGTTCAGTATTTTCTCACATTAAGCGTTTCATTCTTCATACGAACCACGGCAACTTGAATTACATTCATGACCAACAAAAGATTAAAATTTAATATGTCATGGATAAACTTTGTTCTTTCTAAATGAGCTGGATGAGGCATTCAAAATTAATTATTTCATTACCATGCTTATCAAAAAATGAGTATAGCCAATACTGACATCAATTATAAATCCATTTAGCTTTGAATGATTACACAATTCAATTATTTTATGACACTGAGCCTGTGAACTACCATCTCAAATCTCCCATGGACACATTTTATCATTCTCTGCAGTTTCTTTCTTTCAACGTTTTCAAATTTAATTTCAGAAATAATATTACAATTTCAATAAATAAATTAACATATTCTAAATGCCATGGAGCTAGTCAATTCTTCTATAAGTTTCACAATATTAAATCTGGTGACAGGTGCCAGAATGATAACATAAAGTTTATATTCACAAAGAAATTAAAAATGGACTAAATTAGGGAAGAGTGCCTATCACGCAGTTCAGAATCTTCTGCTTTCCTACTTGCTATATAACACACATACAAATATAGAAAACTATAATTTTACATGTTGTCTTTTACAGATGTGAAACTTGGTCTCTCATGACCATTGGGTTCCACAAAAGAGCAAATTTTTTGAGTGGCTGGAGTTTGTGAGTGAGTGTAGCACCAGCAAAGTGAGATTAACCTTAAAAGGAGTATTCCTGAACAGTAAAGACTCCAGTGATTAGATGAGCAACAGGTAGCTACAATGCTTTCAGACTGGAGGTCCCCCAAAAAATTACTTTATTCAAACAATCGTCAGTTACCAAAATGCAAGAGAATTATCCATAAGCTATGTGAATTTTATTAACTCAAAGGAGCTGAAACCTTCTTAATGAATTCACAAGAGCCCCCAAACTTTCACCCCGATAATTTCAGTCCAGTACTCAAAACCTATTTCTTAAAGATTCAATTAAATACTATTCTCCCATCTACAACTAGGTTTCCCAAGTGATCTGTTCCTTTCAGGCTTTTTGACTCTTCATCTCCCCCATGTATTCTACATACTCCATCCTCCTTGAAGTGATCATCCTAGTAACATATGACAAGGAGAACAAAGTTATCACTGTAGGCATTGTTCAATTAGTTGGTTACAATTTTAAAACTTATTTTGAATTTTGCCATATGATATCTGTACTGTACATGTGTGGTTTTCACAGCTGTGTGCTGAATCCAATGTGCAGGGACACAATTTCTTGAATACCAGAATGGCTCAATGTCTCCAAGACATTGTCTTAAATTCCAGTGTCAATAGTTTTGCAGAACTTTTTCAGCCACACCTGTCAGTGACATAAACTTACGTTCAACCACCAAAAGGAATGGAAAACATGTTCCATGATCAAAGCCCTTTGAGACCCAGTCACTGCACTCAACCCAACAGATGCAAAGTAACAATCTCTCTGGCACATAACAAAAATAATTTTCTATGCACATGCAATCACAAAGATGTTCTAATTTTTGTGCTATTTTTACACTCTGCCACACCCTAGTAATAAGCACACTAGTCAATTTATTATACATACAAAGAAAGATGACATTTATACATATGGCATAACAGAATTCATCTGCGCAGACCAGTTACGGTAAAGGGATGCCAACTGGTGTCCACAAAAATATTTCAGGAAAGAAACATATACAAGATATGTATAAAGAAAGATCTAATACAATATTTTTATTTTCCGTCTATACACAAACTTAAAATAATGTTGTTTAAAATTATTTAAAATTATAACATTCTCAGTAAATACTGCATCTTGTTACATTTTTTGTATTGACGACATGTTTCAATGTGTATTACATCATCATCAGGTCTATCAATTTTAATATATATTTTAAAAACTGTTGTACATTTTGCGTTGCGTTTATTGATTATTTTAATTTGTTTAATTGTAAGTTTTTGTCTCTTCCTCTTGATTTGGAGGTTGTACTTGGATGTTTTATATCTGTAAAATTAATTTTCAAGTCGTGATTTTGGATATTAAAATTAAACAAATTAAAATAATCAATAAACGCAACGCAAAATGTACAACAGTTTTTAAAAAATATATTAAAATTGATAGACCTGATGATGATGTAATACACATTGAAACATGTCGTCAATACAAAAAATGTAACAAGATGCAGTATTTACTGAGAATGTTATAATTTTAAATAATTTTAAACAACATTATTTTAAGTTTGTGTATAGACGGAAAATAAAAATATTGTATCAATAAAACACAAACATGACGCAATTGAGATATAAAAAAAAAAAGATATAAAAGAAAGATCTATTTATTTTTTACCTTGAGTTTACACTCTGCACCAAATGTTGCAATTTACACTAGTTTTGATGCATATATTTTTCGTAAAGCATGTTCAAAGAACATGTTACATGACACGTGATGTTTTCAAACAGCACGTGTTATACAAATACATAAATAATTATAATATATGTGGAAACGAGTGATCCTCAGAGCATTCTGTGACCATTCAGATCTTTATATCACGAGAAATATTCAAAATCCAAGACTTATTGCAACTCCCTTAAAAAGCTCATTTTAGCAGTAAAAAGTTGTATTAACCCCTTCTGTAGGTGAATTGTCGAATTGTGTGAGACATGCAAATTTTAAATTATGCATCTTCTATTATATCTTAAATATCAAGTTTTGATTCATTCATTGTCAGGTCTTAACATTGTGGTGAGATAAACAGGACATCACAAACCGATTAAATATTATCTAGACATACACACAAAGTATGAATTACACCATCCATCAAACTATTTTCACAAACAATTCTCAATAAAACTCTCTTGGAAGTACTGCATTCAGAATGTATGGACTGTTTGTAAACAAAAATTGTATACAAATCCAACAGCTTATTAACAAAGTAAACATGTGGTAACCCTTGCTTTCTACAGTACAATGAAAAATAAATGCCTATCCTTTGTCATACAAAAATAAAGGATTAACATTGGGGGGGTTTGGAAGACAGGTGGTTAAAATGTGCTATAAAAATGTCTGAGTTAATTAGTAGCGATATATGTAGACAGGCACCTGAAGAGGGCAAGAAGGAAGAATCACAAACCTACAGAAGGAATGTGGATAATGCAATCAAAGTGACAGTGTCAACAGTTGGAAAATAATGCAATCAAAGTGACAGTGTCAACTGTTGGGAGACGTAAACACAAGGGTGGGTAAGTGCCCCATACCTAAGATTGTAGGCACTTCTGGAGAGGGAATTATATATGGTAATGGGGAGCTTTTAAGAGAAAAAATATCGGAATCCTCTGAATGAGAGCCCAGTGTCTTATCCTGAGACCACAAGGTCCCTGTGCGAAGGAACGATTCTTAGTGTTTTTACTCACCAGTATATGTAGTGGTTGTCCTCGTTATATAAATCCTAAAACTTCATTTTGTCACAGTGAGATTTCACATTTTGTGGACACAGAAATGTATTATCACAGGATGAAATGCTGTTTCAAACAAGATGTGCTCGGCAATGGAGCGAAGAATTTTAAGATCTAACCTTTAAGCTACACGCAAAATATAAAACCTGTGTACAAATTACATATTTCAATATTAACAGTATAAAAGATAATGTGCAAATACTGATTAAACGACTTACAAAAAATGTGGTTGAGATTACATAAAAACTAAATATAATACAAACAATAAACCAATTAATAAAAATGATTTTGTATTTTATACTACATGATCTTTGGCAAGTTATATACCGTATTTCATCACACAATTCACTCACATTTTCTCATAATTCTGTGCGTGTGACACACAAGGATTTATTAAAACAGTCCATAACGGACAATACCACCGTCTACTTTAACTGTCAGCAAAAGTGAAATATTTTCTCTGAAGTACTGAGTGGTCTTACGTGGTGTACACTGGTAATAGAAGACAGGGTCTTGTTTCTTGTTTACATTTAGTATGTATTATGAAATTTGTTATGTTCTGTAACACATTTTAATTAAATGTTAAACAATAAATTTTCAGCAAATTAAAACACAACTCATAAAACCTAGAAACAGGTACTCTAACCCTTTGACAAACGCCTGAGTGTCTATTTAAAGCACTGTTTGCTTTATTATTATATAACTAGTCTTAAGTAAACAGAAGTTCACCAGTTTCTTCTTTCTCTGAGCCTGTTGCTTTTAAACTTTTCTCGGTGAAAACAAAGCACTTCACATTACTGCTTTGAAAAACAGCTCATCTTCTGTGTATCAGTGTGCTTCATGCTGCCATCTCAAGGCTTACTATAAATAGATAAGAGACTTTCCTGCCTGGAAAGCCATGTTGGACTGTGATATTCAACTCGTTTGATTTTATTACACTTACGGGGTGTAAATATTTAAATGACCAGTGGCTGAATGGTGAACTTCCTTTTAAAAAAAATTATGTAATGCCAATCATCTGCCACATTCACATGGCTGCAAGCTGACACCACAGAATACATAAAGTGCAGCAGTTCGCACCAAACTTAAGACTGACTCTTTGTAAATTCTTCAGAATCTTATTCCTTAGGTCACTCCTAGTCAGAAACGTCACACAAACACAGGTCTAATTCTTAACCCCATGGATATATGAAATTCAAGATGATCCGAACCTTACGTAGAACATCACGGTCATTCCTGCATCTTGCAGCGTTGAAAGTTTTATCACATTGACACATTCTACACCTACCGGAGATGGCACTCACTTTGACAAAACAGAGGTCACAGCCAACTTAAGCAGTTACAGTTCCCAAACAATCAGAGAAATATCTGAACACTCCCCTTAATTTAACTGTGAAGACGGCTAGACTAAGAACTGGCTGACTTTGCCACTGACCCTACCTCTGCTATTCCTATACACTAACTCTTCCCCCCCCCCACCAAAGACTTTCTTTCAACTTCTCATACATAGTCCCCAAGTCTTCTTTTACAGCTTCTCCTTCACTACACCCACATGGGCTATTTCTAGACCACCTCCTCTCTCCTCCACGTAAACCTCTGCTCCACCAATACGCACCATGAAATATAACTTGCCACCTACTGCCTGCCCTAGAAAAGGCTTCCAAAACTCGCCCCACTACAAATTCATCCTGAAGATGGTAACAAGAATGTCTATCAAAGCATCGGTTAGTATTCAACATTCAACGCAGCTCACAATCAAAAGCTGAAATCATACACTGAACTCTAACCACGAATCAAAAGCTGAAATCATACACTGAACCCCAACCACAAAAACCAAATGACAACCGCACATTTCAGTCAACACTTCATGGAGTGCCTGAATGACCAGTTTCTGTGGAATTTCAAATCATCTTGAATTTAAAGTATCCACAGCTCTGTAATCATTGAAAATCAGAATTAAGTTGACTGATATTTCTGATATGAAGTCACCACTCACCCTTGTACATGGGATTAATACACTCCCAATTTTATACCTGGTGCCACACTTTTCAGATATTGGCGACAAAGTTTTCCACTGTGATACATAAATATGGAATGCATGAAATATATAAAGATTTATCTTTTCTCAGTTCCACAATGAAGAAAGAGAGTTTTGCTAAACGTGCAGTGGCATGAATTGTGCAGTGAAATACGGTTTTTGGAAGATTCATTGCTCGAGTTCACGGCAGGAGTAAGATTTATCACTTAGCACAAAGGTTCGCAACCCACAGCCTCTGGACTGCATGTGGCCTGCTGACATGTTTTGTGCGTACAATTTTTATAACACTGAATAAACTTGTATGATGAAAAATAGTTCCATGATATCATAAAATGTTGTCATTATATAACAATGCCTATTACTATGATCAAAATTTCAGCTTAGGTCTCAATTAAGAACGTTAAATCAATGACTATGACACATCGTTCTGATAACCACTTGGACAGATGTATGCGAATTGCAATAACAGAAATTAAACCTCACATTAGAAGATAAGTGTAGTACAGGCAACTGCAAGTATTACACTAATGAATGATTTTGTTAGAGCAATATGCGATCACATGCATAATTACTTGGTAGCATTTTTAATACAAAAAATTGCCCTCCTTTATACATCTTGTGGCCCATAAGGTAGCATTTTTAATACAAAAAATTGCCCCCCTTTATACATCTTGTGGCCCTTAAATTGATTACAAGGGATGAATGTGGCCCCAGACCTGGAACAGGTTGAGAACCCTTGGCTTAGCATTTACTTGAGTTCATAGCAGAAGTCATAATTTGGAGGATCTGAAGGTATCGGAGGAGGATCCTCTGGGATGTCAACACCCTCTGCATCCAGGAGACGAAGTTTAATATCCATCGAGAGCAATGTTTCTACATCATTCTCTGTTTCTTTACTCAGCATCTTATTTCCTAAAAAAACAATAATGGTTATTAAATACATGAATAGGTATTCCACGTTACAATTAAACAAACTGAATTCAAAAGAATATGTGGTATTCAAGTATGCACCAAACAAACAAAGCTTTCCTCCAACAACTGGTCCAGTAATTCTCTAATCATTATTGCAAAAGCCAATCATCAGACCACTTAAATGCAGTCTGCATTTTCGTAACCCAAAGTTTTTCACTTGGATCAATATTAATATTATCTTCCCACCTCACTTTCATCTCCCAATGGCCACTATGAAATTGTCCTACCAAAATTTTGGATGTATTTCTTGTTTCCTCCAATGTCAACCCTCTTCAGTTAATTACTTTCACCTTCTTCTTCACTCTCATCCTCCCACACCCTCAATTTCTTCAGCATAACATCTGTTAACATTTTCCAAGCGTCTCATAGCACACATCACGTCGAGAATTTTGGACCTGTAGCATCCTCTCTCTCTCTCTCTCGGAACAAACGTCCCCACCCAACTACTGATACTGACCATAAAGACAAAAAAAAAGTATTATTTAACTCCATCATTGCAGACCCTCCCAAAACCAAACGCCATGCTCCAAAGCAGACCGTACAGCACATGGAGATAGCAAAAGCCTTGTTCGCATTTATGTAAAAAGAAAGTCATTCACACACACACATGTACAGATGATCAGCAATCAAAATAATCAGGAGTTTGCCAGAACTTAGGCTCTAATTAAAACACTAAACATCAATTACCCAGCAGAGCATTGATTCCATCTGTCCAGTAATCAAATACTTGTTCATCTGGAGCCACAAAATCAAGTGACGTTACTTCTACAGAGTCAAGCGTGAGGGAAAAGGCGAGTTGGTGCGTGGTCTTCCTGCCCCTGAAAAAAATAAACATTACCATATTAATTCACCTTTATAATCCTGTGGTAAATTACATGTGCCACTGCTTTAACAATCAGTAACTCTGGCCTGTGCGACTTTCGTCGATAGTGTGTTGTAAATCGCGCACAGTCCAGGTAGGCAAGCATACAGCTAAATCGTCAACTCTGGAGTTGAAATCCAGCCAGCAGCCACCATAGCTTAAGATTTAAATCACTTAATTTGATGTGATGAAGGTTAAGGTAACAACTAAGTATTTCCTTGTACATGTATAAAGAGAAGTCAAAAGGGTGTTATAATCAATAAATATGCAGCTTAATGACTTATTTCTGTGCACAGTTTTCCACTTCTTTAATATTGCACCACATAACCTAAAAATATGAAATATCTCCAAACCAAATTTCAAACATCTAGCTATAATTGTTTATTATTAATCACTATGAAACCGTGACCCAAGATACAGATTTCACATAGTGAACACGCTGTTTTGTTTTGTACACATCTCACACTCATTCATGGGAAGATGAACAGGAATGCAGTACCTCAAAAACGGCGTAGCAGGGAAATCCATATTGGACAAACTTAAAACTTCATAGGTTAAATGGGGATATGTGAATATGATAACCGTGTGAAGTCTATCAATACCTAGATAAAAAGACTTTTTTAAATATACACAAATGAATGGCCCTAACTTTACTGTACATGAAATTATAAAAAAAATTAAAATCACAAACATGAAAAACAAAAACACATTAAACATTACATCATAAATTCGAATGTTGCTGCTGCTGATGACGATGATGATTGTGATGATAATGATAGCGGTGCATTTGGATGCTAAGTGCTTAATTGCTCAAGGCATGACTGGAAGATACGGGAGTACTGGAGAGTGGAGAAAATATCAGAAAACATGTTTAAAGACTGTGTAAATTCAAACTTTCCACGTCCAGTAAATAATTGTTCACGTTTGTTTTTGCACGTATAAGCAAATCTGTGTTGCGCCAACACATGACCACAAGGGTTTATTGTATTTCAAAGAAACCACGAGCCACGGAGACCTGGAAAAAATTACATGTACTTACATTTCTACAGGCACTGACTGGACATGTTTTAAAGACACACCAAATAATGCAAGTATAATATTATTATTAATAAAACTTAGGAATATTATCATAAATTGATGATTTACTCTCCACAAGGTGTACAAAATAACTGGATCTGGTTAAATCCCATTAATCACCTTGGCATATATAAAATGGTCCAGACCGGCTCTGGGGCCCACCCAGCCTCCTCTACAATGGGTACCGGGGTCCTTTCCCGGGGATAAAGCCGGCCGGGGCGTGATGCTGACCACTCACCCCCATCTAGTGCCGAGGTCAAGGAAGAGAGGAGCTATACCTCCTCTCACCCCCAAGCGCCTACATGGCGTATAGCGGGACAAACTTTACTTTACATATATAAAATGTTTAAAACTAAAAAAAGGGGTCCAAATCTGAGACATCTCTCCTGATACTACGTTAGAAACAAAAAGTCACCTCAGAATAAACTGACACATTTTTAAAATACCACTGGTAGTGATTTAGTGCTTGCCAGTCTATATATATAACATACCTAATATCTTTCATGTGAGGACATTCTTTTCCAGTAATCAAGGCTTTTATGTCAACAACTGCCAGCTTGTTGGGAAGCTCCTCCAAAGTTGGTACACTTTTCTCATCACAGTCACCATAGTGGAAAACTTTATGGTTAGGTGAGAGACGGACATACCAGAACTTGTCCTTAATTCTCTGTCCCCTCATAGAGTATTTTGTGAACCGTGTCCCTTCAACAAGGAAACCAAGCCTCTGTTGCTGTATCAGCTCCATGATCTCTGGCTTAATCTGCTCCTTCAGCTCTACGATCGGCCTCGCGTGAGACTCCCACTCCTCTCTACTGGTTCGTTCCTGCTGCCACAGGTTTGTGATTTCAGAGTACGTCAGCACCTGAAGTTTTGCTCGGAACTTATCCAAGCCAGTCGGTTGAGATGCGAGGGCTCTTGTTATCTGTTCGCGAACTACACTGAATACCTAAAAACATAACAACAAAATGGCACTTACTCTAACTACACCACACCAGGCCATTTCAACTTTCAAGTGGTTCACAGAACTAACAACATATGGATTTTATAATCCAGGGAAATTCTGTCCCCTCATTTTATACCTATTAACATAAAGACTAAAATATACAAAACTATGTAAGTATTATTAACCTGTTGCATTATATGGGTATGAAACTCTGTCTCTTGTTGTACGTGAATAAGACAGCTGAGAAGAATATTTAGAAGAATGGCAAGACTGCTTATAAAAAGAGGAAATGACTACATGAGAGACCCTTGCCTAGATAGAAGAATAATATTAAAGTCGATCTTGAAAAAACAAGATGTGACAATATGAATTGGATTCATCTGGTTCTGAATAGGGACCAGTTGTGAGCTCCTTCAATAACGAAGGAACTATCAGCTTCTTAAGAAGGAAGAAGAAATTAGTCAGTCAGATACTTTAACACAAGTCAAATTTAAAATCATTAATAAAACAATGTCTATTTCCAATAAAAATTACAATACATGGTGCCATAAGGTTCCTCTACAGACCTCTTTATCACACACATCACGCTTCTCTTCCGTCTTCAGAACACTGTCATCTATAAAAATCTTGCTTCTTCTGCATATGACCATCATAATTTTCCAACACTGACTCTGAGCTCCTAACATCCACATGTTCAAATTCTAACATTATTACTTTCACAAAATCCAACGCAGTGTGCTGTAAAGCTGTGACAAGAGGCAGGACTTAAAGGGACTCCTGTCAAACTGGGACTGGCAAAAAGCCAGACTTGTGATAGACGTCACAAGAAAGAAGAAACAACCTCACGTGTTTTATGTGACTGTGACGCTTTAGCTGAATTAAAATGCTGCTACTTGGACTCACATTTTATGAAACCAAGTAATTACCACCAGGCCCCACTAAGTAATGTTTTACATTTCATTTAAGGCGCAAGACAGGGAATGTACAAGTGATCACTAATCATGATGCTATGGTTATCGTTCACCCACCCCTTATTCAAGTGTTCATCTAACAATAATCAGGAACGACCCAACTCAGCATCAAGACTGAAAAATAATTATTTTCTCATGAACTTCAATTCTGAGAATATCTCATATTCAGGTAACTATATCACGCAAATCCTTTCTCTGCTCTGTACAGATCAAACCGGAGTGGAACACATTGAGGTATAACACAAATAGAGGTTCAATAGGTGACAAGCCTTTACAATGTTGATGTCAATATAAGCTATATATATATATATAAATGTACAGTCAAGGTGCAGTCATGTTATTGGCTTTCATGCACGTTTATCAACATTACTCTTTTCTCAAATTAAAAATGTACTTCTTGTCCATACCAAAAAGGTATGCCTCCCCCTCACCATCACTTTTCTTTGCACAAAAATACAAAGGTAAAGTTTTGTGTCGGCACCATGATATGAAAATATATACTGCTCATTCCACATATTCTTAACCCATGCACCAAACAGAAGTAGCTGCTAGGCTACGTAAATATCTCACAGTATCAGTACGAGATATTGCAAAGAGAAAACGTTCTGTCTCTATGGGCAATTGAAAAAATCAATAATTAACGTAGGAAGTGTCTGGCATCTCTCACGGGTCAAATGGAAACAAAAGCAGTTTTGCAACTAGCAAAATTAATTCAGCATTTCTGCACACACAAAACTTACTTTCACAAAATCCTCAATTGTTGCCCTCATTTCTTTCCACGTTTTGTTAAGAAGAATAATGCAGATACAGAAAAATTCTTCAAATGGATGATCATGTGTAAAGAACATGGGATGGTAATTCTGACCCTGTTCGCTTGGTGCCTCCCCAATCCGCAGGACCTCACACAACAGTTTTACTAATTCAACACTTGTTCGCCCAAAGGGACACTCATGCTCATCGGCTCTGCAGGAGTTCTCCAGCACAACCTATAAACAAATATCACTTTACAATTTACAGGTCAGTGACAAGTCCATTAAACTACTGTAACCTCATTTCAATTATTCAACAACACTGTTCCAATTAACATCCATCCAGTTACGCACCATGCAGGTGCGCAGGGGAGAGGCGGTATAGCTCCTACTCAGTCTCAATCGCGGCACTAGATGGGAACGAGCGGTCAGCGTCATACCCCAGCCACACTTTGCCCCCAGGGAAGGGGCCTCCAGTACCCATTGGGACACGAAGCTGGGTGGGCCCCAGAGCCGGTCTGGATGCAGAGGATAGAAGAAAATTCTCTGCCCATTGGGGATCAAACCCTGATCATCCAGCCCACAATCAGTCGCTACACTGATTGAGTTACCCGGCTCACACACAGTTCCAATTACATTATATGATGTAAAAAATGATCACAATAAGGTAGATAAGAATAAGGTGGCCATTACCTACATTAAGTTATTAATGTGGTATTCACCAAAACATGTCAGGACAGCCAGCAGCTCAGCAAAGATTCAAACTCAATACCTCCCAAACATAGGTGACAGTGTCACTGCTATCCTAAGTTGCCCCATTTTCAGTAATCTCACGGAAACATTCCACATTCTGTGACACTAAGAAGTATAAGAAAATGTAGGCCGTCAAGACCCGGCCCTCAAATATGAAGAAAGAACACTAATAAAACACCAGCTTCCTAAAAAGTCAAAGTCAGCCTCAACAAGTTTCACAACAACAACTTCAATTTTCTTATATTCTACTTTACTGGTGTTATGGAAATATCAGCTATTTTCCAACATAATCCACTCACAAACACATATCAAGAATTACTCGCTATCCTAACTGTGGTTTCCATGGTTTTCTTCAAACCCTCCAGGCAAATACCATGAGAGCACCTTAATTAGGCCATGCCAACTTCCTTCCACATCCTTTCCAATTCATTATTAACCTCTCATTTGACACTACATAGTCTGAGCCACTGAAAAAGCATCATTAAATAAACCATAAATAAATATTCAATCATGTCACATGGAGCTATATTCCGGGGAAATTCTACAGACAGAAAAAAAATTCATCATCCAAAAGAAAATCATTAGAGCAATGACAGGTATTAAAAGAAGAGCATATTGCAGAGAGATGTTCAAGAAATCTAATGTGTACTTCCCCTTGTGAGTGAACTCTTACTGTCATTCCTGTCTTTCATAGCGGACAACACGCACAAGTTCCAAACAAACTCTGACATACACACAACATAAATACCAGGCATTAGCATGATCTCCTTCAGCCAAGCTCTAACCTCACTAGTCACCATACTTACTACACTGAGACCAAATTATTCAGGACTCTTCCACATAGAATTAAAAGTTAAAATCATGACACAAAATTATTTAACACAGCACTGAAATATTATCTTTTATCTCACTTCAAAGAGTTCAAAAAATATGGTAACAAAGGTTAAGCTGCGAAAACAGTCAATCATTTTACAAACATGAACTATCATCATATGACTTCACAAATTTAGACCTTAGTGGTCTGTTCTGGTCACTAGTTAACATTAAATATGTCAAACCAATTGTCAGTCACGGAATGGATGGAGTCAGAGAACCATCAGAATCCTACCACACATAACACGTTACCTCACTTTACCTTGGTATAGTTCTCGGTGTGATGGCGAGCAAAGTAGACCATACAATCAAGGGCCAACATTCCGGGTGGTGTTTCAGTAAAGTCAAGTGCTGGGTTAATGTCATACTTAAAGCCAAGCTTCTTGTAATCTTTGGCAAAGACACCAAGCTGTTTCCGAGCCGTAACATCTCCACAGACACCTGTACCATCTGTGTCAAAAGCAATCCTCCGCAGTTCCTTGATCTTTTCATGTGCATCTTGATCTTGAGGGTCCATCTTACTGCTCATTCGTTGTTCTAGAAGACCTAATGTCAAAGTTTGAAGCACATACAGCTGATGAGCCATTTCAGCACCAACCTGAGATGAAAAGAAACTACCAAGTTCACACACCATTTTTACTTTGGTGGCTGACAATGCAGCTAAAGTAAATCCAGCAGAAAGAACTCTTTAAACATACTCAGACTACCCTAACAAACTGCATGCCTCCTGCTGACAGTGGCACATAAACCAATAGTTTTCTAAAGCAAATAATGTATTTGTTATAATGGAGTGACAATGTTTCCATGGTAAAGCTGCCTCTAACAAGCACACTGCCCATACTCCAGATGTGAGACAAAATGGAGCAACAGTGGAAGAATAAAGAAAGAGGAAAACCAAAGGTTTCTAAGAAAGATCTATCCCAGTCTCACATGGCCTCCCCAGGCAGCAAACCCAGACCTCTGTATTGAGAAGCCTATAACTAACTGCCTGTGCAAGTCCCACAGACAAACCATATTCTACAGCCACTTGATACGCATATGATTACCTGTCCTGATGAAGACTGAATAACATTGGTGAGTATTACGTTTCGGACCTGCTTCGATGATAAGGTGGCAGAGATGGCTTTCCTTTTGGAATTGTCAGCTTTCAGAAATAATGCATTGATAAGTGCAATAGCATTCTGCTGAATGACTGGATTTTGACTCTGAAGGTGCATTACAAGATTTGGAAATGTTACTTCCCTCTCCACTTGGCCATATTTCCCTGAACTATTTAAAACAATGTTTTCTAAGATTGAGAGCGAAGCTTGTACAACTTTAGCATCTTGAGCCACTGCCTGATTGTTCACATAACTTGCAACTTTATTGATGAATGGGCTTTCCAAAATATCCCATGATACAATACCATGGTCCATAAGTTCAACAAACGAAATTAACGAATAAGCCAGCATGTTTCCTTTACATTTTCCTCCTTCAATAATACTTATTATTAAAGCCAATCCTTGCTTATTTATGAATTCAAGAGCAAACGTCATATCAGTGCTCAATTTTGATAACTTCTGCACAGCATTTAACTTGTCTTCATTTGTTCCTGTATTTAACTTTTGAAGTATATCATGGGCAGTTGTAGATGGTGAATGCGTTAATCTCAAAACCGAACCATTTTTTATTTCATTCCTGTTCTTTTCCGTGATATAATTCTGGTTGTTATTTTCTGAAAACTGCAACGCATACTGATCGGGATCTGACAATCCCCAGCCATTGCACAGCTCTTGAATTATGGCAGCAAGAGGTTGTTTTTGGTTAAATTCAATTAATTGAGGAACTTGCTGTGCCATTTCAACGGCAATCTTCACAATATTTGAGTCCTTCATTGCAGGCATTTTGAATACTTTTGTATTCATCTGCTACAAGGAAAACAGATTTTTATCAACTTCTCACTGTGCACTACCACACACAAACCTCGAACAAAAAATCACTTAACCTTTCTTTCCATTTCAACCCTGCAGAAAAAGTCCACAGATTATACCAATATGTGTCTTGGGTGGCTGGGACACTGACAGGAGTGAACTCTTGTATAGGCTGTGCCATCTGTCCTTGATCTAATATATCTAGTGTAGTCGTCATTGCCAGTTTCAGTGACTCAATTGTTATAACAGGTTGTCGGTGACTGGATGCTTCGGCGGGAAGGATGTAAACACAGATTACTTATTCGCAGTGAGCAGGCTGCTGGTCTGCATGTTGTATGCAGGTGGTGGGTAATTTGTAGATAATACCGACGAATAATTTGGAAGAAGGTATCGTTTTCAAGGAATATGTTTGAAGTTAAAATACAGTAGCGTTAACAAATATTAAATCAGAGTTATTATATAACAAGATTATTTTTACCCTTGTTTGAAACATGACGTGAAATGAGATGTTTAGTTATTTATAGCCCTCTTTTCTGCAATTATACAGAATTCTGAGGCATGTAACATGTCACCATTTAAAGTTTGACATGACTAGCAAAGATGGTTTAATTATCACTTTCAAAGCAGACAGTACATACAGATTTTGCATGGCTGCCATGTTATTTTACAAAAAGCTTACTTTCACAATACCTGCATTCATTTTGAAGACCTTTTACCACACACAGTATCAGAATTCAATGCCATTAGTGGCAGTAGCATCTTTTCCAACTCAGAAAATCACATAGCTGCCATGTTAATATTACTGATGGTATGAGACTAAAAAGTGCAAAGGTGGCTTATAGTGGTGTAATATTCATACAATATTTCATGCAGATGTGTTAGTTACTTCAAAATGTATTAGGTAGAAACACATACAGGCATGAAATACGCCTATCTTTCCTTATAAAATTAGTTAAGTAGGTCTCTTGTAGCTCACGCATGAACTGTCATTCTACAGCTATTCAAGTGCTGGCAAGACCACTTTCAGAATAGACGAGGCCCACCCAGTCATCCATTGTTAAACAGGGAATAATTTCCTGGAGTCATAAAGTAGCTACACTGTGAAGTTGCTCATATACCTCCATCTAATGCTGCAGAATTCCACTTGGCATTCTGTCTTTCACATTCTTAAAGTATGTAATCTTAATGTGTCTACATTTTTCAGATTATCTGGAGATAAATGGCAGACAATCTGGGCATTTTGTCAATTCTGGAATGTCCAGTCTGTTTGGAATACATGATCCCACCAATTTTCCAATGTCAGAATCAGCACCTAATTTGTTCGAAATGTCATACAAACCAGACGCGCTGCCCTATTTGTCGAGGGATGATGAAAGGTGTCCGCAACCTGTGCATGGAGAAAGTAACAGAATATATTTCTTATCCATGCAAGAATGATGGAAATGGTTGCAATGCCATGCTCAGGCTGGATCAAAAGGAACACCATGAGAAGATCTGCCTTAAAAGTGGACAATATCATTGTCTTCTACCAATGACAGGGCAGAATATTAAAGAGTGTCTCTGGATTGGCCCATTTGAAAAAGCTGATGCTCACATAAGACAGACACACAGTCATTTGATTAAAAACTCAAATGATGGTTCTTTCAACTTATATGCATCTGAATTTATAAATTATCAGTATTATATATTATTTGATGATAACCTTTTCTGTGTTTTGATACATAAAGATCCTTTAAGGACTTCCTGTGTCCAGAAGGTTTATACATTTTTCTTCCACATTACCAGTGTAACATGTACAAAAAGAAAATCCTATGCATACAATGTGAACATTGAAGGGCATTGTGATACATTTGAAGGATTTGTGGGCAAGCTGGTCCGTCATACTGATATTAAAGATATGGCTTGTAGAAATGAATGCCATCATTTTATGGGAAATGATAACAATTTTGCCTTTAAAGGAAACATTGCCAAAATATAGTAAAAGTCTGAAGTACTGATGTGCTGATTTGCAATCCCCTACCAAATACTGATAAGACCAGTACCTCAGTGGAGAAGGTCTACCTCAATGAAAGATCATAATTAGGAATCAGCATTGTTTATAACATAATTGACTTTATTGATTTTGGTACAATTATATTGTTTTTTATTTCATATGCAGCAACTTATAGGGGGAGATTTGTAATTTGTTTTTAATCTCTGTATTTCACTTGGACACAGACAGCGGGGTACTCAGTAAAAAGACATCTGGTGTTTGTCAGTGTTTCTTCAGGGAATTCAAATTATTAGGTCCTGTACTTTACTTCTTTATTTAATGTATAATCTTACGTGAACACACAACTTAACAAATCATGGGTGTTGGGTCACCATGGCACCTAGAAATTTTGTTGTGGTGTCAAAGTATTTTTGTTTAGTGACCATTTGCAGTCATCTATATTATGGTTAATTTTTGGTTGAGATTTTGTTCTAAATGCCATTAGGTGGTGCAAAGTTTGGCTGATTATAAGAAGGTGCAGACCAATCCATAAACGTTATGCAACAAACTTGCAGAGAGTGAACTTCACAAACACTTTGTGATATTGTGGTTTGTGTTTTTCACTTATAACTGCATCTAAAAGTTTGTAGCTTTAATAGTTGATACAGCAACAGTGAAACTGCAGCAATAACTGGGAGACAAGAAAATTCAAAGTAAATACACCTTTAATGTTCCATTGGAAAGAATAAATAACCTCCTCCAGAAGTGAACTCAGAAGGGTCCATATAAATGAGGCATTTGTCGAATGGGCCAAAGTTTTGACATTTATATTTAATCATGCCATAGATATAGCAAACTGTGAGGAATATATCTTCCTCTTCCAGTATTGCAGATCAGTACTCTGCGTATGAACCATTGGTACACTACTTCGGATCTAAAACCACAAAATGTGTATGGCCACAAGAGGCCGAGTCAGAAATCGTGAAAGTAAGCATGGCATGCAAATAATTTATTTCCTGTCAGAATGTTATTTTATATAAATGTCGTTATCTCATGTAATTGCTCACAGATACATTAAAACATGTTATGAAATGCATGCATAGCTTATTAATTGTAGAAAGTTTGCCAGAATGTTACCGTTGTGAATGGCACCAATAATTTCAGTTATCTTGGGCAAGTGACCTTTTCACTCTGTCATAGTATTTATGTCAGTGCCAGTACATCCCGGAATCTGATTTATCTCTCATATAAAATTAGAGGGTTTTGATAAATTGACTCTAAAAAAAGTACTACAAGAGTTTCATATTTTAATTGAATTAAAATCCAAATGACTTAGTCTAATAATTCAGGAAACAAGGAAGTAAGTTTTTTCTACAACAATGTTGTTGCCAAGGTACTGATGGTAAAATTATGTGCTCTGTTACTGTTGAATATATTTCCCTATTGAACAGTAAGCTCTAAAAAGTATGTGTGCTTTTATGTAAAATGGTTGTTAAAACTGTGTGATCTGAATAAAGATTAAAATAGCTTGACTTTTTTTTAAACTCTTCAATACCAAGATGGCCGTATTCTAGGCTGTAGCACCATGTAGTCTAAGAGTTCACCAACATTTCAGAGGTCCTTGCTGCCTCCATCATTAGGGTGATCAATCCCCGATGATAGAGGACCTCTGAAACGTTGGTGAACTCCTAGACTACATGGCGCTACAACCCAGAAGAGAGCCACCTTCATGCTCACTGCTGTGAAAACCTCAAATCATCCTTCTTCAGTACCAGAATTCATCAGTCAGCTTATGTGTTCATGCATTCTCAGGTTGTTTCATGTGTATGGATGGACAGAGTGACTGCAGCGAGGATATTATACATGTTCATTACTGTATCTGACATTTAAAAATTGCAAACAGGAGTGATCCACAAAGAGCAGCTACTCGTTTATTTCCTAACATTCTTAACCCGTTACTTAAGAAGCTACACAGATGATTACGTTGTCCCACTCCAAGTGAAAATACTGTAGCACACCAATTTATGCTATTGGGAGACTGACATGCACTCCATTCATGTTTCATGACCATGAATCTAGTCATGTGTAACTGTGGCCTTAAGGGACTATGTACTTGAATCTTTGGCTTCATTGGGCCCTGATGGGATGCAATGTGGCTTGCACTGGTCTCACTGAGAGCTTCTTTTGTGACAGATGACGACACCTAAATTCTCATCTGACTGTTGAGAGAGTAGGTGGTGGTTTCAAGTCTTTGCAGCCTTGCCTTTTTTAGCTAAATTATATTTAATGAAAGTTCACAGTAAACACATAAACTTTCAAAATCCATTAAATGTCTTCCATCAGAATATCGTGGGAGTAAGAAAGAAAAGTGATGAATTAAATTCTTTTCAAATAGATGGCACAAATCTCCATTTATTGTGTATAAACGAATATCACGTTTTACAACAGGATTTGCTGCACCACACATTAAATAGTTACTTGTTAGGTTCCAGTTTCTGCAGACAAAACTTACAAGAGGGGAGGTGTGTGCATTTTAAAAAAAAAAGATCAGTGTTTCAACAAAGTTGATGTTTCACATCACTGTAAAGGATAGGATTTGGAAATTATGCAATTCAACTAGAAACAAAAGACTAGCTACTTTAAACTTTTCAGATTTTACCTCAATGTTTAGCACCATACTACGGATCATTTCAGCATTCCTCACGGTGTGGAACCTGTAGGTAAATGCTGCCACCTTTTGGTTCATCAACTCAGTATAACAGTTGTGTTTCCAAATTACTTTACTGCTAGAAACCTCCCTGCTTCATACATAAATGGAACTGTGGAGGCATCAGAAAATGAAGTGTTAACATTAGCAATATGACTCTTAAAAAGCTGGGTGGAAGAATTTGGTAAAGGCATGGAAACAATGTGGAACTCGAGGGCATTCAAACCCACAGGTGTGGGCACCGACTTTTTCGGAATTCCAGGGTGTGCCCAGGTTTGTGTTCTCCCAAAATATTCCAAATGCAGCCCACAACAAAGAGGTGGCATCAAGAACACAAAGAATGAACAGAGTGGAATTACAGTGTGTTTACTTGCCTCTGCCACGTCTGAATTCCAAGAATCTCCTTTGTCAAAACAAAACTGACTGCATAAAACTCAACCATCTCCTCTATTTACCAAAAATGTAGAGGTGAGAAGCATTATGGAAAACTAAACATTCAACAAACAAATTTCCTAGGCCAAAATGAGTACCTGTTGATTAAAAAGAACAGTTAATGGGAAATGGTTTCAAAGTTAAACTGAAGATAAAGGGATTTTAACGGGTACTTAGCATTCCCTCAAACTATTCAGTGGGTGCCCAGGCCCCAGGGCACCCATGTAGTCTGCCCATACATATATGTGTACAAAAATTTCATTTTAGCAGCTGTAATTCTGGGTTTTGTTTCGTTATTATTGTATTGATAATGTTATTCCCCGACTCTTGTTTACTAACTTCATCGTTCTTAGTATTTGTCACTGTGTAACCTGTGGCTACGCTGAGGTGTGTTACTCTCACGCAACTTTGTACATCTCCTTCTGACCTTCCCATAGAGGTGTGTGTTTTAAATTTCCACTGAATTATTGAAATATTTTAGTTTTATATCAATATTACCCTCTCTCATTGCCTATACTGTGGAATAAATAAATAATTCTCACTTGGTGAAGTGTTTTAATTTTTGCTATTACAAGGATCTTTTCCTTAAAACGCAAATATTTTTGTTTCTGAGTTGGAAATTTTAATAATATATTCATTATGTTATGCAATTTATGAATGGCTATTTACAAATTCTCTTCCATACAGGCAACTAAAGATCTGATCTTCAGCAAATAAAAGGGCATTGATGTAAATGCAATTCATATAAAAGTAGTTAGCATTCTTTCTATTTCATAAGACTGCTGTCAGTTTTTGTTTAAAATGAGACGAGATGGCGTTGGGCTGAAAACTGATATGCTACAAACATATAACCTAAACAGAGCTGCTAGAAAGATTTGGAATTAAATATCACCTGGTCTCTTATTATAATTACAAAATTTCATTTCATGATGAGATCAGGATTTATGACATTATTTAAATATTAATGCAGCATATGGAATAAATGTATTTTTAATCCTTGTGCAGAAAACTATAACTCGCCGAACGTTAAACAGGATGACAACAATTCAAGAACACCTAATTATTTTATCAGCCTATTCTACCTGTGGCCCGACTTACCCCTGGAAGTTTATTTTGTTCTTCAGAACTGTAAGTAATGTCTAAATCCCACAAGCCAAAGTCATACAAAAATAAGTTGGCGTTTGCCAGAATTTGACTTTTGTCAGATAAAATACTGGACGAACACTTGTCAGAGCTTGGTAGTAATGAAAAAAGGAAACAGCAGTAATATGAATTTGTTTTATACCTTCAATATTGCTTCATGTGATGATGTCACTGTACAGGATCATGGGAAATGATGTCCTCGCATAGGATCAAATTCATGCCTCATAGGTTTGAGCTTCTATCACACTGATATTAATAATTGTAGGAAAACCATTCAGCCCTTCTTTGGGTACTACACGCATACAGATGGACATCATGAGTGATAATGTCATCACAGGTGAGGCCACAATCGTCACAGAACATGGGTAATGCGAATGTGGAGTATCATCATTCCACCTCGCAGGTTTCAGTGTTGGTGGGCGCTATGAATGTAGGAAATTGAACAGCACGAGATTGGAAAGCCTCCAATGCCATAAACTCCATACCAAATTTAATGAAAATCTGTTATCTTGTTTCCGAGTCGTTACATGTGCATGGACAGATGGATGGTCAAAGCAGACTTAATAGGCACTCCACAGGGATGTGAATGTGCCTGATTACATAATTCTCCATGCCTCATAAATAGTTCCAGCATGCATTATTGACATTTTCAGACTAACGCGATAAATTACAAGATGGACTGTATATCCACTTATTGAACTAGCAGCCTATCTTAATTGGAGAAAACACATTCCTACCACTAGGCACAAAATAGGAAGTTACAGTAACATTGCTAGATAGGTTTGTAGAGAAGAGTGGTGACATATTTTTTCCTATATCGATGTGTGGCACTCAGCACCATCACTCCATCTTTTATTGATAATGCATAAAGATGATTCAGCATGACGTGGTTTGGTTCAGGTAGCAATGTAGGTTCACACTGAAAATAAACATTAAAATGTGTTCAGTGTACATCTAGAATGAATACTCTCAGGCCACTTTTTCTGAAAGCAACCAGAATGTTAAACTTTTCAAACAAGCATCTGCATATTTGAAAATTTACATTTTCAAGACACTGCAGCAATATTACACATAACATGGAAACTATTTCTTGAAGGTGGCTGTCTGTCTTGGGACAGACTGAGAAATCAATCACATTCTGTTTATAGACAAGGCCACTTTCCACATTTCTGATGCAGTGAATGATCACTGTTGCAGAGTTTGTGGATCCAAAAACCTGCAAGATGTCACTGAACTCATCTATGATGGTACAAAAATGGAAGTGTGGTGTGGACTTGCATGACAGTCATTGGTCCATTTGTCTTTGCAGAGAACACAATTAGCACTGGCATTTACTTGGACATTCTGGAAATTTTATGTTGCCTCAAACCCAAGACACCAGACACCTCATTTGCCAGCATGGTACCATGGCATTTCATCTATATGGATAGTGATGTGCCCATTTTCCAAGTCAACAGATAGTGAGAGGTTGGCCAATTCCATGGCCCCTTAAAAATCCTGACTTCATCATGTGGGGTTATATACAGAACACTGTGTATACCATACGAGCCGGGATAGCTCAGTCAGTAGAGTGACTAGCTACGGGCTGGACGACTGGGGTTTGATCCCCAATGGGGATTTTTCCTCTAGCCTCGGCGTCGAGACCAGCTCTGGGGCCCACCCAGCCTCTTATCAATTGGGTACCGGGGTCCTTTCCTGGGAGTAAAACGTGGCCGAGGTCAAGAAAGAGTAGGAGCTATACCTCCACTTCCCCCAAGCGCTTGCATAGGCGTGTAACGGGACATTAAAAAAGAATACCAAAGGAATTGGTGGTTTGCTGGAACTGCAGCAGAGAATTAGAGTAGCAAGACATGCATCAAAGGCCAGGGTGTGAACCGAGAACAAATATTGTCTTGACATTTGCAGTACCTATTCCAAATCTCAGCTAATATACAAGGTGTCCCAATTTAAGATTTATTATCACTGTCCTCAGTCTCTCCAGCTGAATGCTGGGATAGTACCTTCAAGGAGGTCATGACCATCACCTTTCAGATCCTTGCCTAATCATCATTCATGATCATTTACTGATCTCATTTTATGCTACTTAACCCAAGTGAACCAAACATATTTTTATCTGACTGAATATCATATTAAAGTGTATTTCTTGTATTACTCTACTCTGAAACCATTTACAGCATTTGCGTATGAGTATGAAAATACTCTGCCCTGCCTATGTTTCACTATACACATTTTTATGCTTATCAATTCTAAAGCATAATAAAACTAAGGTGGTTCATTTAGTACTCACTGATAAAGGAGTGTCCTTATTCAATATGACCTGCAGAAGATGTGGGGGGAGGATGGGTGGTCCAGAAACCTTCTCCCAAGGCTTGTTTGCTGGGATTTCTTGAGAATATTCTCCTGTAAGACAGTAAAAAGGCAAACCATAATCAAACCTGTAATGTTTAAGAGACTGCACTAGCAGATATAAAATATCTTCTCTTAGCAACAAGCTTGGTGGAATTTTTGAAAAATGTTTGGTACAAAACAAGTTACATTCTGATCTGTAAATGACAACTTCAATAACACTTTCAACAGAGGCAATGGAATAGATTAAAAATGCACCACAGTTAATTAATCTACATAGTGTATGAATTTTATATCCTCTCAGACCGTTCTCTGATACAATATAATTTTTTATTCTGCACACAAAAACATACAGCAAATAAAATACAATTCACATTTGAAATTATTCCATTGCAAGGACCATCCGAGTTAAAATCCTGACTCGTGTCCCACATTTTAACAGCTTGTAAAATGCCTCATATACTTAATTTGATTTCTCTGGCCAAACAGCGCCAGACAATCAAAAGTGGAGTAGAAGATTATTAATCTGTTTCCGTAACAACATTCTTTATTCCATTTAAGGCTGCTGTACCATTTGCATACAAGTATTTTCTGCAGGGTGGATTCATATTACTCAGAACTGGTACAGTGTTAGGTTCTTTTCAACACAACAATGAACATTCAGGTTTCATACAAGGCGTGGAGCTTCTCGACTGGCCGAGTATCAGCCAGTCAAGAATTCTACTTCATGGAGCTAGTTAGGCTCAGAAGTTAAACTTTTAGTTCAGTAAATAAATCGTTTTACTCACGTTGCTGACTACCACCCATGCTTTCACTGTCCATTGCAAGAGCTTGAAATACTTCAAAGTCAGACTTCTTGACACAAACCAAGTTGTTCTTAGAACCCATTCCATTGTCAATGATGCGCTGGAAAGAACATTATAAATGTGATGAAGGAAGTGTTTAACAAAGAAAAATATTAATCTTTCTCATCTGGTTTTATGCACATACCACTCCTGGGTCGTGTTTCCATTCACCATCAACATAAAATTTGTACTGGTGTTCCCCTTCTGGCAGATCTATGATAGTTACAAAATCACCATGACTGCAAAAAAGAATAATAATTAAAAATGTCATGATCAAAAAGCATCATCACAATCATCAGAAACGAAAGGGCGTGTGACGAGCCACGTCAAAATAAAACATTTTGATGCAGCTTGTCACCTGAGAGGATTTTATTGACATTTCTTTGTTCCTATATCCCTCTTCAAGTAAATCAAAACAAAAAAGCAGTGGAAGGTGTACTCTTTGGAGTACACTGACATCCCAAAGATGTTCATACTACATCATGGGCATTGATATCAGTAGGGCAACCAAGGGAATAACAAATTCCATAATCATATCAAAAGTAATCATTGCACTAATGCGATCTTGAGTCACTTGCTAAATAACAACAATAAAGTATCAATAATAGATATGATAATAATACGAATAAGAACGAGTATAAATAACAATAATAATTACAATAACAACATAAATAGCAATAACTACTACTACTCTATGGCACTACAGCCCTTTTGTATGGCCTAGGCCTCCTTTTAGGTTTCTGCACAATTTTTTTTTCCAGGATGGGGCCGTAAACCCCATGCCCAAAACCCCAATCTCGAGAACTGGGCCTCCAAATTTCTATCCCCCCTAGAGACAGGGTGGCCCAGCTATACCCCCTGGGTAACTCAGGTACCTTGGGGAATAACAATAAAAATAACAATGATGTCCAGTCCCATGGCTGTTGAAAAATACAATAAATAGATACACAGACTAAAGATGACCGTCCTCTGGGATGCTGCACTGTGTAGTCCGGGAGAAGTTTACTGGTGTTTCAGAGGTTCATGCTGCGTCCAGCAACAGGACAACGAGTGTTTGCATGGATGACAGACACAGCAAGCACCTATAAAATGTTGGTAAACATCTACCAGACTACATGGTACAACATTCCAGAAGACAGTCATCTTCAAACTGGTTGCCATGACAACCTGAAATCTCACAAGGCCCTTAAGGTGTTCTTTGCTCATCCTGGAGCATGAATAACACCTAAAAACCATTATATTCCTAAATACAGAACAGGCGTGTTTTCTCTTGTATAGTGCTCCATATCTTACAAAAAGGGGAGCAGGGATGGAGGTCCATGTTAACATCCTCTGCACAGTACCACACTCCAACGTATAATTTCTCCATTGTACACAGAGTATGGACAGTGTGAACATGTGTAACAACAGAGTGAACACATGTAACACTGAAGCAAACAACAATGCGTGGAATGTTTTTTGTCTGGCGGATACCTGTTTTTTCCATTCCACTGCATAAACCAGGTCATGATGTGCTAAGCCAAAATCACTAAAATGGAGTGCAGATACAAAGTAAACTGACACAGATTATTTCATTATATTATATGATATTGCTTTCTTCACTATTTTAATATTTCTACTTCAAGTTTCCTCAGAGAATAAAAGCCACACATATTCTAATCCAAGGAACACAACAGTCAATCCTACAATGATTACACCACCAAACGCTGCATAATATGCAATCCACACAATTTATCTTTTTTAAAAAATGAGAACCAACATTTCATTTCTCCACACGCCAATTTAAGCTCTGTAAGCATGCCTAATAAGTTCCAGATAGATTCTGAGCCAACCTGCTTACTTATATTCCATCATGTAGAAGAATTTACTTCAACTGAAAATTATTAAATACTGAAAAAAATATGTAACTAGGTGAAACAACTATATAGTTAATATTTGAATTGGTATTGTGTATTGTTATTATGACATCAGTTTATAATGTAAATGATAGCAGCATAATATAATGTTATTGTCATCGGAAAGAAACAAAAACGTGGCAACTCCTTCACCAGCTAAATACTTCATGGAATCTTAAATCCTACACACACTGGTATATTTTAATCTACTCAAATAGCATAAGTGTTCTGTACAGATGATGGGAGGAAATACAATAAAGTTCATATACAATTGTTAAAATCACAAGACTACCATATTCATTTTGTAACCATATTTTTTGCACATCGACTCATAACATTAGCTTAAAATATGTATGGTGCTCTAAAATTTCTGGTACAATGAAGAAAATTTCCCAGAATCACATGGTGTAATAAAACTTTTGTTAAGAATACACACAAATTATAAAGTCAAAAACATTCATTCACATTGAAATGTTTCAACTTTTCACCTTCAGCTTTGTAAGCATCACACATTGTTTTACCCACAGGGAATAAAACTTAATTTCTCATAAAGCATTTCAAACTTCTTTTGACAATTCACTATGATCACACTTTTCTCTTCAAATTTAAACAATGAAAAATTGTTACCTTTTAACCATTGGAAGAGTCTTCCAGTTAGAGAATGTGCCACTGATAAAAACTTGCTTTCCACCACCTTCCCATTTGAAAACTGTGGGTAGGACTTTGTCACTGACTTTGGTACCCTCAGAGACAGTAGCAGAACGCTGGCGTGTAGTTCCTGTGTAGTCTTCTGATAGCTGTTCCTTGGCATAATAAGGTTCTTCCTCCTCATGAGATGATTGGAAAACTAATTTTGTATTTGGTTTCTTATCAAAGACAAAAGCTTGTCCATCCTTTCCTGGAGAAGATGGTGCTAATGTATCTCCTGATTTGTGTCTGTCACGTGTATTACTGCCAGCATTCCCCATTTTATTCAGACAGACTTAATGCTGTATTTAGCAATGGAAATATTTAATGGTTATCACAATATAACCAATTTACTCACATAGTGAGGGATTTTGTAAACATATAATGCTGTCTTTACATGAAAAATGCACTAAAACGTCACCATTTAAAGTCGACCAGACTAATAAACTGGCGTTTATACAAGTTTTATAACATAAATGACAATTTACTTACAAACGACTTCATAGCGTACTTACATTCCCACACACAACTCTTTACACTTGTTCTTCTGATTATAACAAATAGTTCCGATTGAACAATTTCATGCATAGATGGCAGAAGCTAATGATCTGTGTGTACTACTATCTAATATTAACAATCTGAACTTTTACGGACGTCGTAAATGAACTTTCGTCATTCATTGGTGACAATATTGATTTATAATATTGCAGATATGCAATTTCATGCATAATAGTTAAGACTGTTTTGCCATCTATCTGTCATCGGAGTGTAATACAGAGATTTCGATTGTGGTAACGAACACTCTGACGTTAATAAGGCTAACGTCAAGTCTACCACTAAAATATCCCCCCACTTTATTGAAAAACCAACATACGTGCCGGGTTGGAGATAAAGCCAGCTTAATCAGTTTTTAAACTCTAGCACAATAGGGGTACTTCATCTTCTGTGAAAATGTTCGTGAATTGGTTCAAACAGATTTGCTAACATGGATAGCAATGTAGGTTATGTCACCAAAAAATAACAGTATTTTATCTGGGTATCCGAGGTAAGAGATTTCAAAAAAGCAAAGTACTGTGTCCTTGACAATGATATCCAACCTTCACACCATCAAGGATGATATATACGTGCGCGAACACGCACAGGTGCACACACACACAGGGTGATTAAAATTTTACAAATTTTATTAATGAGTTGTACACCCAAAAAACAATTATATGTTAAAGCATGAGTGCAAAATAGTTAGTTTATAAGTTACATCCCATCTTACATGCTGCAATTTGACAGACAAAGCACTTGGTGAGCATAAGTAGTAGCTGCACACACATTAAAGGGCTGTACATCAAATTGCCTATCACATAGCGGTGTCATTATTTTTAAAACTTCCTACTATACAGAGCATTAGATGCGCAATAAATGGTGCTAGTGACTGTCTCCCCCCCCCCAACTTCTGGACTTACAGTCTAGCACCATCTGGTATAATATTGATGCTCTGTTTGCATACTACATGTCAGTAATTTCCATCCAAAATTATTATTTTAAATTCATAAAATAAGATACATGAAATAAATGAATTACTGAATCATTCTTGCGGAGCTCGTTTTTAGTTTATTTTGTCCATCCATCCATCTGTACACATACAACTGAAGAATGGTCGAATGGATTTTAAACATCTGGCATGGAGGTTATCTCCAAATTTGTACCGTATAATTTCCTGCAATCAGTAATACCAACATGATGGATACTTAGTCTTGTGAGGTGGAAGGGTGATCCTCTTCAATGGTGCCATTAAACACGATCGTCTGTGATGACATGATGTTATCTCCCATGGTGGCATCATCATCTGTATACAAAACTCAAGAATGGCTAGATGGTTTCTTTAATCCTTTAAAGACCAGTGGTGACTTTTGTAGTCGCCCTCGGTGGACTAGTGGTTAGCATGCTCACCACTGGGCCCAAGGTTTGTGGGTTCAAACCCAGCCAAGAACAATGGATTTTTAAGGGTGATAAAAATCTGTAGCACAACTTTCTTCGGAGGGGAAGTAAAGCTGGCCATCCCTATTTAAAACATAGTGTTGATTGCAATTTAGAATTATAAGGATAATGACATTACCATCAATTATGCAGCATTCTTGAATATGCATCATTTTATTTATGTATTGAACATTTCAGGGAATAATCTTGGGAACAAAGTATTAAATTGTAGGAACTAAACACATGTGAAAGAATATGAAGACGACAATTGGAAAGATTACATTTTTGCACGTGTAAGATGATGAAACTCATGGTTTGTTTTGCAGGCTAATTTTAATCAAGCTGACATCTGAAAAATTAGGCATATTATATACTTTCAAGTTTCTTGACCTCAAACATGGGGTAAAGGGCGGGGTTAAGTGTTGGTGAAAAGAGATGTTCCTACAAAGAACAGTATCCTGCTGGAAGACAGCAAAATATTGCCAAATATGCACCCAATTTATGGAGTGAACTCACACATCAATCAGTGCTGTTTTTTGATATATTCTTGGTGAAGAAGGGAAACTGAAATATGTAAAAATGTGAAATTGATGAAGGATACAAAACTTGAAAACCCTAAGGAAGCATTCATTATTTGGACAGGGCAAGTGAATGTGGAAAATGGAGCAGCAGCTAGTTAAGTTATTATGGAATAAGCGAAAGTACTTGGACAGCAGATGAGTGTGACAAATTTTATACAAAATATTTGTATATATTTTAATCCCAAAAATGAGATTATAGTAAAGATGAATATTGTATATGGGGGTAGTGTTACAAAATTGTTAAGTACAGATTATTGAGGAAAGACTGGAACTACAGTACTTCACACAATTTGTCGCTTTAATACACCAATGAAAATACACTCGGACATAAAAGAACTACTGCCATCCTTGCTTTGACACCAATATCAGTGGTGAAGAAAGAGTTGTACTATAATGGGGTTAGACAGTGAATGACCTCTGCAAATATATGAAATTATTAAATAACATAAAAAATAAACAATTATGTTCAGCAGATGTAGGAAATGGATCATCTGTCATGTATGAATATGATACTTTTATGGTTTTAATGCCATTTCTACATGAAGTTCTAAACACAGATTTAGAAGTGTATAGAAGTTGATGGTTGACTTAATGAAATACGTATCCACTCACACAAGTTCCAGCACTGTAAATCTCAACAGAACAATTATATGAAACTTCCATATGGAAGAAAAGCTGACTGCATGTATATTCAGATCACAGAAAAATTTGATACCTGTAAATGGAAAAGAAAGGAGATTCTGTGTGAGATTTGAGGTTTTCACAGCAGTTACGATGATGACAGTGATGTTTGACTTGGCTTTGTTATTGTGTACACTTGCAGATCCCAATGTTGGCAACTACCTACAAATTTACATGGCATTAAATCCCAGAACAACAGTATCAGAGAAAATTGTAATATTACTAAGTAAATGCTACGGCTAATGTGTGGGACTGCGCTGTATTTAATCATACATACCCAACATTCCTCATGGTTCTTGACTAGCCCCCCCCCCCCAAAAAAAAAAAATATAAAAAAATAGTAAGACATCTAGCTTGCGTTGTGGAGGTACCTGGCTTCAGCTCTAGCTGCTTTTTGTTTTTCAGTGTTTTCTCAGTCCCTAAGGCAAATGCCTGAGTAAAACTTCGAACACATGTCACAACTGTGTTCTCCTGCATACCCATGAATTTATTACTCACAGTTAATGTGCCATAACACATCCAATTCTATTAATACAATTTTAATATTTATTGAGAGACATATGGAAATTAAAAATGCCTAAGAAGGGGTTACATGTCTATTTAAAGCAAGTACAGAGCCATGTTATCATATGGAACAGAAAGCAAAGTACAGAGATTTCTGATAATGTTGTGACACAATGTTATATTCTTCAGGACTTCATTAACCCACCAAGCGTCTTATATTAATTACATGGAAATTGGATCTATTTCATTCTTCAGATGATCAGTTCAGTATTAAAACTAGTTATTTCAAAGGGCCCAACAGAATAGGGTTTTGTCTTCTCACTGATCACCTGAAGAGTGAAATAGATCCATTTTCCAGAACTTCATGGTTTTGATCTGCAGAAAACTCTGTGTTTGGTTTTCAATGTTGGCAAAACTGAAACCTTGGCTTCCTTCCGCTTTGTGTTTTGGTCGTGAAAGGTCGCTGCAATTTCTATATCAAATTTAAAGTTAATTAATAAAGTGAAAGTCCACTGTATTGGGACATACTCCCATTCAAGGAACATAATGCACAAAGTCCAGAAGAATAATTATACACAAAAGTGAGAGAACAAGAAATGGTGAAATTAGAGAGGCTTAAAATATAAACACTTGAGAAGGAAATTAACAAGTAACATGTTTTAAGAGTGAAAAAATGAGAATCCAAAGAAGGTTCTGAACATGAAAGTGAAAGGAAATGCCCAAGAAAAAGAGAGAGCTTAAGATGGGAACAACAGTTTATGAAAGATGTCACAGAGAAGGAAGGAAGATGGAAGAAACAGATGCGGAGAAGCTGTGGGAAGATAGAGCATCATAGACAGGCTTTGTTGTTAGATGACCCACCTAAAGTCTTAGGAAAAAAGAAGACATGACATTTTTTGCTACGTGACTTCATAATCAAACAATCACAATTAATAACTATCAAAAGTGGATGGATATTTTTAAATGAAAATGTGTTCAAAACTGAAATATACTTAACTTGCACCAATTTAAACCCTTAGCAAAAACACATGAGATTTTGTTTTTATGGCACAGTGAATAATTAATTTACCAGCAAAGTGAGGAGTCAATACTAGTTTTCTACAAATATTTTCTAGCACACTGAATGGACCAGACAAGTTTCATGCTGTTTTTGTGACAGTAATTGCATGTTAGACAAATCACACATCACCAACCCAGAACTCCACTTCAGTATTGGTAAACTGTGTAGCGAGGGTTGTAATTTGAGTTGTTATACCATTTTGTATTGGAAGTAAATTCCAATGTTTTGGAGCAACCTACTGTCTCCACATTCAGATTAGCAATTTCTACACTTTTATGCTTTTTTTCAAATACAACACAGTATTACAAGCCAGAAGACTCTATATTATGCCAAGAAAAACTCAAACCTTTATAAACCTATTTTTCTTCCAGTGAAAATGATCTATTTCTGTGATAACCAAGTATATGATGATATATGTGTGTTCATCTATGCGCAATCCATCAATCAGACTACATCATTACACCTGTCCACCTCGCCTGAGCCCTCACTGTCTGCATCAGCACAAACACAACTTCTGCCTCCAATACCATTTGGCAAACAGAGATGTCCTTCATCACAAGCCCCACTTTGAAACTGACAGGCATTTGATACTGAAAGATAAAGAAAAAAGAATGTGTTGAAATCCAGATTATGCTGTTAAATCAGGCTTCTAATAATTAAATGCAAGTAAGCGAACACCTGGTGGTCTAGATATAAGTGACAACCTTACATGCTGATGGTCTCAAGTTCAATCCCAGCTGGATTCAGTGCAGATTTTCCCCACGTGCCCTCTCCTTTCCTCACACATTCTGTGTCTGTGGAGACTGTGAGGCCCTCCACGATGGCTCTGATCCCATTTTAAACTGTAGATCTCCTTTGCCAGCCAAATAATCATCACCATCATCTTCTCAACCTTATTCTTTTATTCTTGCTTTACTTAATGCCACTTTAAAAGTGTTTAGATTATATAGTATTGATCTCTGATCGCCATACTTTTCTGGTCTTGGAGTAAAGGGAGTTATGTACCATGGAATAACAAGATTATGAATTGGAACAAATGTGGAAAGAGGCAGTAATGATCTAATTTCATCTAAAGTACAGCAGTACTCTGCCATCTGCCTCGAAGGGAGCAAGGCAAGAAATTAAAAACCTTAGGACAGCTGATCTCTGTGATGAGATTTGAGCATAGGACCTTACAAGCACAAAATGGGAGTATTAACCAACAGACCATGATGTTTTTGGTAAAATCAGCTTCTGAATTTACAGTTCCAGTAGAACAATTCTTACTTGAAATGGAACTAAAATTTAAATCCACCATTATAAAATGTACCTACAGAACTACTAAGAAGCCATTGTGGATCTTGGAGTTCCAAAGAACATAATTAAAGAATATGTCCTGAAGCTTAAAAAATGTATACAAAACAAAAACTGTCTACAGAAATATTTGTTATATACTTACACTGGGGACAGTACTCAGGAACAGATACAATTCCATACATCCTGCCACTGCCCCCAAGAGGAACCGTGATGGGTTTATTTACCTGCCCAGAGGGTTTCTGCGCACTCTCTATCTTATGCCTGTAAATTAAAGGACAAGTGCACGATATGTTTAAAAGAAATATTTTATAAAGTGAAAGTTTTACTATAAAACTTGTATGTCTCTGTATTTTTGTGCTTGAAATTGTGTTTATTTTACACACAATTGGATTGTTAATGGTTGACATAACAGCATTTAATTAAAATGTTGACCAACTCTTCCTTGCCATAAATTCTATGATTTATGCAATAATTTAAACTTCCAATTTAAATACATAGTAATGTTGTAATTTTTATTGTTTTAATTGATATACAGACCAACAGTCATATTTAAACAAAGAATGGAGAATATTACGCTCAAATGATCCATCTTTCAGCAAAGTGGACTTCATGAGTCAGTTATGGGAAGCTCCATTATCTTTACCGCTATTTATTGCTTCATTTATTTTTCAGTTTGTTCATTAACTTGTATTAATTGGCTGTAGATCATTTCTAAATAATTGCAAGCAGCAATGACTACAAGCCTCTTTTATCTGAAGGCATGTTTGAGTGGCAGCTGACAGCATGTTTTCCTGATGTCGCTCGGACTACATGTTGATTGTGAATTTGGGACCAGGCTCAGTAATATGATAAGCTCTCAAGTGAAAGTTTATGAATAGGTAGAGGAGATATTTAAATACATAAACTCACATGTTATAAATGATACTAAATGGCTAGCAACCTTCTGTTTACTTTTAGTGTTAGCTAAGGTACTATAAAATACCAATTACAGAACACCAAATAAACATACAGTTTTATCATTTTGTACAAAAAAACCTGCATCGTTAGTTGAACAATTCACACAATGATAAAGGGTGTAACAGATTTTCAGATGGGTTACTTTAGTTAAAATAAAATTTTACAGAATAAAAGGAACCATTTATATTTTTTTTATTATTGCTGAAGAACTTACGTGTCCCAGTCTGTCCAGTAGTAATTGTGAGGGGAGATCGCAAGTCCAAATGGATAACTGCAGTTTGCGACGACTGTCCTCCTAACTGCAGTGCTGATTCCCACACATTCTGTAATATGGCATGCACCAAACTGATTAACTTATCATGCATTAACAGTGAAAAGAAAACAGCTACCCTGTAACCCTGGTTTGCTCCAGGCCTGAATTATGCCTCAAACATAGCAAGAAAGTTTATATCCCATGGAAAGTTATAGATTTCAAGTCACAGCCAAATGATGAGATTTCTGTTTAAATAATGAAATTAAGTCACCTAATAAGAATGAAATATTCAAGATAGTGAGGTGGTATGCCAAAGCGAAGCAAATTATACTGTAGCTCTCATGGATGCAACTCACAAATCAGAAATTTAATCTTAGTATTTGCCTCACAAGAATCAGTCATGATCTTTCATCATCCAAAATGTTTTCTTCATACTAGGAACAATCTTGAAATCAGAGTTGGTCTACCATCCTCTTAAGTACAGACTCAGTGCAATCAGCTGACATGGGTGAACATTTTTAATATTATCCTAAAATCAACATGAATGATATAACAAAATTCAAGAAGCTACTAGCATTGACTGTAGAGCAAACGTTTACAGTTCAAATTTTCTAATTAATTATGACACACAAGACAAGAACTTTATAACCAGAACACTAAGCCACATAGTGCCTGGTTGTATAGCTTGTACTATCAGGTATTTTTCTCAGCTGGCATAAATGATCAACACATGTAACCTCAAGTGTGCTGTAACCAGGGCACACACTAAAGAAGAAGGGCAGGAATACACAGCCATACAGTATCCTAGCAACCAATGTCATTGTTGAAAAATCCACAAACCTTGCTTCAGATATCCTCATGATCAAACATCCCATAACCTCACTATCTATTACAGTCACTAGTAAGGAAACCAAAAATTCATCAACAATAATCATCATGATCAATATCACTGTCGGCACACCAGCAAGCCAGTAACTGATCTGAGGACGGGAGCCAGCTCACAAAGGACTGCTATAAACTCCATGCAGCAAAGTCCTTCATTCATCTAGTCAAGAAAGTAACCATCTTTTATGGAACCCAAAGGTCTATTACCATGTTCAAAAGAGCATGTCCCTGTCCTGAGTCACATGAATGCAGTTTACACCATTGCAACCTATTTTTTAAAATAAAGTTCAATATAACTCTCCTATCGCCACACAGATCTCCAAACTGGTCTCTTCCTTTCATGTTTTGTGATCGAATCTATCCGATGTTACCTAAATGTCCTACCCATTTTATCCTCCTTGATTTAAATGTCTGTAATTTATTTTACTTTATACATTGACAACACCAATGTTCAAAGCTAACATGAGGCTTTTGACATATATATATATACTATTTAATCAGGGTAATGCAGTTCCTTACCAATAGATTTTGTTCCAGCATCAGCCCAACACAGTTCATCTCGGTCATAGTCGATGCTCAGTGAATTTGGAAGCTTTACTGCAGTTCCCTTCAGGAAGACAGATCGACCGGTGCCATCCGCATTTGCCCACTCTAACTTTGGTGATTCACGATTCCAGTCTGACCAGAACACTTTTCTGCATCGTTTAAACAAAAACTTTAATTAAAAAATTATTTTGATAATTTAAGTAATAAAAGTTTTACTGAAATGACACAACCATAAGAAAATGTAGTCATCTTCTAAGTACATGCCTTCTGACTTCTACACATATTCCAATATCTCTTCTATATGTGGAAGTATTAGTTAGAAAACATGACCTTAGACATTTGTTAATGATGCCAGTGATATCACAACTGTCTTTTATCAGTGACCTCTGAATGTGCTAGATGTGTGGTGTCTGGCTGAATAAATATATAATTACAAGGATATGCCCACATGGTTGCATGATCAGGGCATCTGACAATTCGTCAATGTTATTTCAGAATGTGTCATATTCATGTAACATTCCCATTATTTTTGTTCAGTTTTAATGAAAAATGGAATGTGTTAACAAATTTTAGTAGTTCCTCATTATCAAATTTCATGAAAGTCCATTCAGCATTCCTGAAGTTGTTGTATGTGACATGGATGGATTTACAGGCATGATGGAGGTTAACAGGAACAATTTATGCAAGTTCATTGCAAACAAACCTCAGAACCCACCGTTACATTCTTCATAATTACTGCTCCATCCGCTTAAATAATTTCATGGTTTGCTTTATATTTTCAACCACTAAGCTCAGGTTTTCTACAAAAATTGCTATGTTCTTTCATAGCTAAAAATGAGTCATGTTACCTGTAATGCTTTGCATAGGGATTGTTTTCCAGGTGACAGACGTTAAGAATTACACATTTAATTATGATGGTGTAATTTTAATATGCAAGCTTACCCTCTTGCTGGGTGAACTGCCACTCCACGAGGATTCACTAGTCCCTCAGAAATGATCACCTTCCTCAGTTTGTTATCAAGATTTGCCACTTCAAGAGTGTCCTTTGTTGAATCTGTCCAGTATATGTTTCTTGACACCCAATCGATGCTGATTCCCTCTGGTGAACCAATATCTGGCAAATTAAAAGGAGCAGGTGAGAATTCTACATGCTAATGAGATCTGTGTGCATGTAAAAGTGACTGAGAAATATCATCAAGGGTAAAGGATGTGTTCTTATAGAAAAGCAGAATATGGAAACAAATACGAGGGAAAAAAGAATCATTCTTTGAAAGGAAACTGGGAGAAAGAGAATATAATGGATTATGAATGAGGGATGAAAGGAGGGGAATAATGCGGTTGAAAGTCAGTGTGGAGGCTGAAGAGATCTGGGAGGAGTATGGAAGCAGCGCTGTGCCCAGTTTGCAGAAACAAGGAAGAACCATGGCATATTCTGGAATGTGAAGAAATTGAGGGGAAAAGTTACAGATGAACAGAAGATGACAGCTTAGTGCAGGAATAGTGAAAATTGGCAGTAAACTGGGTTAATTAATAAATACAAGAAAAATAGGAAAGGACTCTTAAAAACAAGCTTAGAAAGTGCATTTCATTTTTTTTTTGCAGTGTGTATTTAGAAGTATTCAATTTGCCTTGTTTGATAGTTCCCATTTTGGACACCAGATCACAGCACCTCATTGTCTACACAACCAGCCCATAATGCATTCTCGCTACTCACTTTGTTTAAAGAACACACAATATCCAACAGAAACTATACAATATTAGGGTGCAGGGGGTCTTAACCGACATTTAAATAAATGTAGATAATAAGCATGGAAAAGCTGACACAAAGGAGGAAAGATACACAACAGAAAAGCAAAAAGGGAAAACTAGTTTAAGTTGATATGAAATGCAAATTGAATCACTCTAGGGTAGACAATAAGAATATAAAAATTGATCATTGAGCTGACACAATGTGTAAATAGAAACATACTAGTAGATGGACTAAGGGCACAAAATACTGGAATGGATTTGTAGAGAGTGATCAGACATGATGTACAAACAGATATAATGCAGAAGGTGAAGGTATAAGACCAGTGAGTCAAGTCCCAGCTTCTGTTGTTTACATACATCAGACCCAATATATTAATTAATTAATTTATTCATACATTAATTCATTCATTTATCCATTCACTTTACTTCTTTATTTGACTAAAGAAAAGCAACATTACATTATTTTAAGGGGCAGATAACTCCAGAAATGTGAGCAAAACATTGCTTTCAAATATAGTACACTCCATTGAGGCTTAAGAAACTTAATTCTTCAACATTGGGACAGAAAGAAAACATGCTTTCTAGTTCCAAGGCTTGCAATGACAATTTTCAGCTTTTAGGTTGGAAGACAGTTATAAATCTGTTGGAAATGTGGTACGAACTTCAAACCAACTATAAGATGAACAGGCCTAAATATAATGTTTGCTTCATACCTGAAATGAGGAAGTCCTGTACATCTGTTCCATCATATTTTGAGCTCTTGATAGTTTGGCCAGTAATGTCACTCCAGTAGACTCGACCTCCTAGACAGTCTACATCTATTCCTACAAGCACACAGGACAGATATTAAAGAATTATAAATCATTGTGAACATTCCTCATATAATTGGAAAATAATACATTTATACTGAACTATGTTATACTAATCTCAAAACAGAAATTATAAAACATGTATCATATTATCACTCAACAGTCTTATCTTTCTCAAGGAATAAAAGCAGTACATTAAATTCCTGATTATCCAGGCTAATAAAGGAGAGAAGATGCACGAGTAACCAAACAACATGGATAATCCATTATAAATTTACATTATTTGTATATGGCATTAGCAACTCAGGATTTACAGGAACAGAAAATTACAATAGAAAATTAGGCTTTATGAGTTCTGCCAAAAAATCTTTGCTTTATAATGTCTCTCACTTTTAATAAAGTTTTATGTACATTACATTGGTGTTATATTTGCATATATAATATCTGAGTCTAATGGATGGAACACACTCACAGTACTTAAATGTGTCTGTAAAGATGTGTAATAATAATGCTTTTTAATTCCTTTCAAAAAAATTTGTAACAGAGAATCAAGAGTAATTATTTAGTGGGGAAGGGGGGGGGAAGCTATTGGTATTTACCAAACATTGCAAAAAGTTTATTGAGATCAAACAATGTGCAAAGAGCTGGTATCTGTGTAACTTATGAGTATTATTAAAGATGGAACTTTCACCTCTATTCAAATGCCAAAAACTTAAAACTAATTATATATAAATAAAACTGTACTAAGTCTCTGCTGTCCTTACACAAAATATTTCAGTGTCCTGGGAAAGTAGTTTCTATTATTTTTTTATGAAATTACAGAACTGAGCTTACAACATACCTATTGCCATTTGAAAATACTGAATTGTTATTGGTTGACCTGGATTACTTGATGATGGGTTGTATGGAATTCGCAGTGTTGCCATTCCTTGATTCAGAAGTAGAAAATTTCCTGCATATTTTGGTATTGCTGAAATCAAGTAAGGAAAAATTAAATAAGTCTTAATGTGAGTGCCATATACCAGAAATATCTAAAAGTGAATATAATTATGAAAAAACTTCTTGCATGTTTCAAGGAGACAGCCCTTATACTTGTCTTGTTCTAAAAAAGCTAGTATTGTCCCATAAGAAAATATTCATTTTCATTCTCACTGGTGGATTAATATTTACATGGATTAGACCATATGGGACTGAACCTGAAAGTCATCAATTTTGAGAAATGTATTCTTCTTTTTCAGCAATATCTGATCCACAGTCTGACATCTATACAGCAGACAATTTTTATATAACATTAATTGAAATAGCAACTTGTATCAATTTTTAATGTTTATCCTCAGTAAATGTACAGATGAAAAATGTATATATTATCAAATATACAAAGTGAACAAAAATGATCTGAGTAGTTTCAAGAATGTATTTCAAGAAATTAAACAGCATACGGACAGATCAAATCAGACCTGAAAGCATGTAAAACTATGTTATCCACACACATCTGTTCTTTATTTCAAGTCAAGATCATATAAATCATCATTATATAATTCATAAGAAATTTAAGGAGGAAACGGGTCTTAGGGAGCACAGTTACGTGGCAACATACATATTGAAATATGTTCCTCAACTGATTCACGTGACCTATTTTTTCGAAGCACTATCTTGACAGTTAATGCTTCTAATGACGTACTCAATTCTTGGTGATTATAATGACACTATTGTGGCATACTTAAAGACTGGGAACTTACCTTTACATACAATTCCATTTCCAGTGAAACCTTTGTTACACTGACATTCATAATAACCTGCAGCTGTGGGGACACAACTAGAATCAGAGCCACATAAATTTGAATCTTGCTGACACGATACATCAGGTGTGCACTGCACTCCACTTCCATGATAACCCTAAAAAAATACAACACAACAAATATTACTACTTAGAAAAATAACAACTTATAAAATAACATTCGAGGGTCCATGTGTTCCATCCATCTTGTTTATTACATAATATATATGAGTGATCACTGTGATATCCTATCCTATCTAAACTTGATACAGGTTAGGTCTCCAAACATCCTAAATTATAACAAACTGTGTTACGTGCTGTCAATAATGCAGGCAATATGTCACCATGCAAGAAGTTCTCACCTTCTTACACCTGCACCGGTATCCTGTTGCACCTTGATCATAAACACAGTCTGCAGCAATGTGGCAATTGTTAATAACATTACAACCAATAGGATCTGCGGCACAAGTCTTTCCATCTCCTGAGAAACCAGCATTGCACCTACAATGATGCTCCTCAGTTGCAGGATCAAGCAAACACTGAGCGTTGGAGTCACAGTCGTTAACAACATTGCAGCCTGAATCTGTACACAGTCAGGAAGAGTCATATATAAGATTCTTAAATCAGTGCTAGATCAGCAAGTGTATGATATTTATAAAAGATACTCCTCAAGCTTACTTCTGTCCATTATCTAGTTTGATAAGTAAACGACAAGGGAATAGACAATTTTCTGCAAAATTCTTCAATATAAAATGTAAAAGAAAAATTGGTTTATCCGTCTTAGGTTGTTTGTGTGCACAGAAAGAAGGGTGGACAGAGCAATTTTAATAGACACTCCTCCGCAATGCCACAAACACACTTAAAGAAAGTGTTCACACTCTCATATAAAGTTGTCTTTAAAATTGTTCAATATAAATAAAAATTTAAATGGCTTGACAAGTTTCCACAAAATTTTCCAATATCAAATGTAATCAAAATCAGTTTATCCATTTTTAAGCTGTCTCACAAGTATGGATAGATGGAGTGATTTTAATAGTCATTCTCCGAGGTTATGAATGTATGTAATAGCTGCAAAGAAGGTATTCTGAGTGTTCGAATTAATAAATTTGGATTGCCAAAATATTTTATGTTTTCCTTCTGGTTTGTAAATGATTATTACATAGTCCTGTTAGTATTAAGCCCATATCTTGAGTAACGTTTATCTAAGATTAACATTCTTCATTATCATTGTCAGAACCGTACTATACACAGAATATGGCAAGAAAGGAATACTGTTATGAAATAATATATTCATGCATTTAAATATGTGTGTGTGGAAGATGAAGTTATTGTCAAGAAAGAAACTAAATATGAACAATAATACATGGAAAGTTTTTGAGTTCATATGCAAGTTCTGATGTCTTAGCATCCGTCACTTAGAAAGGACTATTATACTACTTTCTCTGCATTTAAACTATATACGTCTACAGAGGAAGCATGAAATAAAAAACAAACAAATGTAACTTGTTAAGTAGTACACACCTACATATGTTTCCTTACAGACCTTTTAATGTCACACAAACAGGACCTTCTCTGCTGAAGCCAGGGTTACAGACACATTCATACTGTTCATGGCTGGCACTCCAGACACACCGTGCATCGTTGCCACAGTCCTCAGGGGAAGAACATTCATCTGTCATAGCCAGAAGAAAGTATTAGTTGTGAAAACAATATAAGTTTGCTGCAACTGAAGAGATGAGTCACAACCAACTTAACACTTATGTGTAATATGTATTGTACTATTATGACTTATTTCACATTCTATTGTCATCTGATTAACTTATGGATCCATGGAATGGAATGTAAGTATGTTTGTTCTGTTGTACCACACAATATAAATTGAGAATGATGGACGCAGAACCTAAGTGAGGTTATATGGCACAGACATACATCAAATATTCATATTTACTAATGACTGACAATATCAATTGAAAATAGTATGATTTACACAAAATTATTTTCTTAAACCAGATATTTGTAGAATATGTTGAAAAAAAAGCAATTTATTTGGTGAAGTATTGTACGTATATTCAGATGAACACAAATAAGGGAATCCCTAGACTTAAAAGTCTGTTATTCCACTCCAAGACACAAGCCATTATTAAAGCATGTAATATGCAAATGGGATATCAGTACCTGTTAGTGTGCAGAGAATTCCATCACCCTGGTAGCCTGGGTTGCATATACATATCGCTTTTCCTCTTGCTTCATTGTATGTGCAAGTAGCATGAATATCACAAATGTCAACTTGCAAACAGGACATATCTGCACAACAGCATCAACAATAATGACAATTGAATAGTTTAACATCTTTGAAAATTTATCCTAAGTCTAAAATACAACTGTGAGGACATTACACATTAATTATAATGATAATGACGACAATAACAACAATACTATACTAGACTATGTGACAGGAAAACAGCAGAGGAAAGTGAAAATATAATTATTTTGTAACTACAAACAAGAAAATCAACACTGAACGACACATTCTATAAAGAACTTACAATAATCACTTTCCACCGTGTGCTGCCATCTGATCAGATATCCAACAACACTTACAAATTAATAAATACATAACTGTGATGAGAAATAGAAGGGATCAAATGTAAGCTGAAACTTTACTTATGTCATGTATGAGATTTTCAGCACCGAAAAATATAAGAGAAGTACTGACATACTCTTGTACTGCAGCATTGAGTAATGTTAATTATATAATTTTGTTTAATATTCTGTCACTTGTCACACGGCAGTATCGCCAGTGTCTATTACATCGCTGTAGCAAGTCATTATCATCGCTTCAGAGTGACGTGTTTCAATTGCCGCACAATCACCATCGGGTTCATTTCTACACTAGTGACCAAGTCAATGCACATCACAACACAGATATATTGTGATATATTCAATTTTAAGATAAATAACCACCACGGCAGTAAAGAGCATGGCTACTGGTAGGGCCTCCCTTGTTAGTCAGGCCGAAGGTGAGGTGTCAGACTAAGAAAGATACCCTGGTCCTCCAGGTTGGGGGTTGAGGCGTTGGGCTAGCTCCTCGGCACTCGTAAAAAAAAATTGCTAAACGGAGGACATCAACAGACGTTTTGAACTGATATTATAATAATATTCAGGTGATATGAGTTAGCAATTAAACAATTAAATGCACTTTAATGTATCTGTTAATATGCTGGGCATGAGCATACATGGTCATAGGATCAAATTTTACTTAAGTTAGAGTCCTTATTGGTTGAAGCTGCATATATGTTACAGATCGTTTTTATTGTGAATATTATCATTATTTTACTTTTGGGAAGAACTTATTAACTACAGATTTTGTATATGCTGATTTTGTCAGATATATTCCCACAGTTTTGTAATGTCACCATGTTTGTAAATGTTTACTTACAAAATAAATATGCCATATATAATTTGTAGGAACGTGTAATGTATCTTCACACAAAATTTCATATTCTACTTTAATGTTTCATTAGTTATTACCACAAAGGTAAATAAAAATTTTGCATGACTGCCATGTAGTTATTTTACATATTCAAAAATAAATTGCCTAAGTAAAAGTTGCACACTATTCAGAGATCTGTTACCATAACCATTTAATTTTTAAGTGGTGTCAGTGTCCCTCCCACCTCTTATTATTGACTGCAGTAAATTAAAATGCACCAAACTGGAGTGGCCTCAAATGGCATTCTGTTCATACCAAACTTTCTGAATATCTGTCAGTGTATTCCAAAAGAGGATGGTCTAAAGAGTCTATTTCTCTTTTCATAAATAAGAGCAGGCTATAAGCTTACCAATTTCTGCACACTCATATCCATCACCTTCATACCCCGCAGTACACTGGCACTGATACTGCCCTCGTGGTGGGATGAACACACACTGTGCATGTGGATGACATGTATTTACAATGTTGCATGATACTGGAACAGTAATTATATGAGTACACTCTAACAGACTCTAAAATACTAGCCTGGTCTTGGACTGTAGCTGGATGCAGAATATAAATTGTAAATACTGCCTAGTGACCATTTTGTTTAATATTCTGAGGGTATCAACAATTGACATGACAGTAAAATCTTTAAATTATAGTAAACTACCAATTATCTGTGTGCAGAATATCTGCTTACCAACAAAAACCCTTGCATATGAAACAGCAAAGTGTAGTCCCAGACATAAATCAACTACAGAACGCTTTACATTCATGTGTTGTGGAAATGCATCCAGAAAACAAAAAATGGAACTTGTATTGACTGAAAAAGCCAGACACCAAAACTATTGCTGATGAATATCATCGTGGAAGAAAATTACAGTATTGGATGTAATATACAGCATATCTTATGCATGGTCTTCTGTGAATCCAGTAATTTGAGTCCAATCTTTAAAGAACTGTCTTTCATATCTAGAACATGATGAAATGGAAGATTTTGTAATGAAGAAATCAGCAAGTCTAAAATTCTTGACACAATGTTTGCTATGAGAAATCTTCAAAGCACTGACAAAGACAGCAATGCATGTGAACTGGGCTTCCCGTGCATTAGAAACACAGACATTGTCATACTGCTGTAAAAAGGAGGGGGAGAAGAGTGTGGGGAGGATCTTTAGAGGGAAATATGAAATTAAATCAGAGTAATAAGAGCTTGTAAACAGGATTACTAAGAAAGCCCAGACTGAACACATGGCACATTCAATTTGTAGACAAAGCAGTGAAATGTTGCTACATTAGATAACGAACTAATTCCATGAAGCAGAATCCTACTGCGAAGCTGAGAGTCGTTCTTGTCGTCAATAAATTTACTTCTTATTATGGAACCCAAAGGCCGATTACATGTTCTCAAGATCCCACCACCAGTCCCTATCCTGAGATAAATAAATCCAACCTACACCCTCTTAACCTATTTTCGTAAGATCCATTTATACTATCCTCCCATCTACATCTAGGTCTTAATAGTGGCTTTCAAACCAACATTTTTTACACACCCTAATCATCCTTGGTAAAGAGTACAAATTACGAAGCTCCACATTACGCAACATTCTCCAGCCGCTTGTTACTTCATCCCTCTTAGTTTTAAAAATTCTCCTCAAGGCCCTGTTCATAAAACACCCTCAATCTGTGCTCCACCCTTAATATGAGACAGCAATTTTCATACCCATACAAAACAAAGGGCAAAATTACAGTTTTAAATAAACTTAACATAAATTATACTGCGATTACTTTGTGGATCTCCATCTGTGGTTTCTTCAGGTAGTTGTTCCTCCTTCAGCACACATGTTTTGTCCTCAAGTTCATGTCCAGGAGGACACCAGCAGAGTCCAAGTAAGCATGCGGGAATTGGCGAACTGCTCTCATTGTTTATTGATGCATCGTAGCAGTTGTAGCCGTCACCAGTGTAACCAGGCACACACACACAAACATGGCTTTCAGCCTCATCGCTGAAAGTGCAGGCCGCATATGGAGAACAATCGCTGGCCGTATCACATGTTTCTGTAAACAGAGGAATGAGACTCGTGTTATTTTAAGAAGTGCCATCATCTTGTTATTTCATCCAAGCTCTGCATAATTTGATGCAATCTTGAAAGCACAGCCCACCAAATAGTCTTACTGAAAACACAAGAGTGAGAAGAATGCATATTATTGGGACAGGTAAGGAGGTTCAACAGAAAATCCATGCAATGGATGCATTTTTAAAAATATAATTTTTATTATGAGATGCCAGCTTAAAAAACATTATTTACTGAAACTGTTTACTTCCTCTCTAGTATGTTCATTTAACCAGACCGAGTCTGTAAACATTACAGTACACCATAAGTTTAAAAGCACTTCGAAAAGGCTAACATCAAGAAGAATGAATGTATTACCTTCTTGAAAGTCCATTATTTCAAACTTCCACATGTGAAGAGATCTATATACTCATTTACATGTTAACAGGGCTGCGTTGCATGCTGGCCAGTAGATTACTGTTTATGCAGCTATCAGTCAATTATTTCCTGAGATATTTCAGATAGTGTTTGTGGCAGTTTCTCTGGGGAACAACGTGTTACGTAAACGTGAAGACTAAGTCTAAAGGTACCAACCTCGAGCAGCAAGTGGGGTGCAGTGAAATCCATTTCCTGAATATTCTGGAAGGCACTGGCACTGAAGGTCCCCTGGATACCTCTCAATGCACTCAGCATGAGGGTGACAGCCCAGGTCTTCACAACTCAGCAGCTCTGTGAAGGAAGCGGTTCATATCTGCAGGCTACCAGTCACTGATACAAGAAGTACTGATCCTGAATTTTTGTGACAGTTCAAATATCCCAAACTTCCCCGTTAAGGGCAATGTTGAAGTTAATCATGTGAATAAACTGTGTGTTGACAACTGATATCAAATGGCATGTGATCTCTTCATATACTTCACAATTATTTCTTAAATGCGAAAGTTTAAAAACAGTGAATGAGAGGACAACAGATTGGAAAGGCATACTCTTTGGAGTACACTGACATTCCAGAGGTGCGCTGTAGGGGTAAGAGGGGGCAGCTGCTTGGAGCTTGCTACAAGGTGCTGGGAGGACTCCTGTTTTATGTGCTCGTAAGCTTTTTCGCCCACTACAATATTATGCATTCATTTGCTGTACAATGTTCTGTATTTACAAAGCTAACAAAATGTGATTCAAACTTCACATATATGGCATATGGATTATATTGTTCTGATATGAATCAAAATTAAATTTACCTGCCAATTTTCAGCGTGAAAACCAAACACCAAATTTAACTGAAACCTGTTTAGATTTAAAGTTTAAACATGAGAGCAGACAAACAAACTTCCAATTACAAATTAATTTAATGCACATTGTTCAAAGAAGGCTTAAAGTTTTACATTCACAGCTGTTAAATTGGAATAATATTTGCACTTATTACAACAGCTGTTCAAGATGTTTCAGAGGGAAAGACAACTTCTGTATTCATACATAAAATGCAAACATTACTGGTGTACTTACGTTCACATTGACTTCCATCTCCAGTATACCCTGCTTTGCACTGGCATGCAAAGCTCCCCGGTTCATTGACACAGATGGCATTACTGTCACAGGTGTGAGTCCCAGTACTGCACTCATTGATGTCCACACAAACAGCTGACTCCTCACCCTCATTATCTCCATAGAGATACTGGTAACTGCAAAGAAACACAGCCTCGTTATCAGTCCCACCTCCTTTTTCAATGTAGATAGCAGTCTTCTGGGTTGCAGCAATATGCAGTCTGGTAGAAGTTTACCAGTGTTTCAAAGGTCCTTGGTGCCTCCATCATCAGGGTGATACTTCACTCATTGCCCTGATGACGGAGGCAGCAAGGACCTCTGAAATGCAGGTAAACTCCTACTTGATCTGGAATTCATCTTTTTTATTCCAAAATTAAGTCGCATGTAATTACTAATATCGTAACAACTCACCCAGGGTTACAAACACATTTGAAACTGTCTCCCTCTATAAGGCATGAACTGTGCTCACCACACTTTGACCTCCCACTTCTACATGGATCTTCATCTATAACGAAAAAACAAAGATGCTAATACTTGAGGTTGATAGACACCATACATAAGGAGTAAAATCAGATCAATGGTGAACATAATCCAATGGAATATGAAGTCCATTAAATAAAATCCAAAGAAGAGATGTGAATACTCAACAGATTCAGTTCTTGAATTGTCACCTGAAGGCACATTTACTTTGTGTGTGGGTACTCAAGCAGGACACCAATATCTTAATGAAATAAAAAAAATGTGGATTTTATGAAAGGGGTGATGATATCAGTTCTTTAAGTGTCTTTAGATATTTCTGTTTGATTATGATATTTTGTGGGACAATATATGAAGCCTTAGAAGCATATCAGATGCACAAGGCACTGTTAAAGTCAGATCTCAGCTTCTCACTGTGGCCAGTGTAAAGATGGCGCTCTTCTAGGTTGCTGCGCTACGTAGCCTGATGTGCTTGTTGCCTCCACCATCAGGATGGTGATGGAGGCAGCAAGGACCTCTGAAACATCAGCAAACTACTACCAGACTACAAGACACAACTGACAAGACAGTTACCTTTGAGGCCCTTTTTATTTGAACGTACACATTTTGAATAATAACAAGGTGTAACACGACAAATGTGTCAATTTGGTTAGTAACAAAAACATTTCACACACACATATATGTCCCTTTTGGTCCTTAAAGATTGATACGGTACTATGTTGCACCTTACCTCCAAGAGAAGTGACCTTGTTTGTCATGGCATAACGTATGATCTTCTCACGAGCTTCATAGCTGATAAAATTCCTGGCGACTTTTAGGCGATAGGTTGAAACATTTTTTGGAGAATATAAGCACTCATTGTAGCGAATCACTTGTTCTACATTGAACGGGTTGTCTATGGGTGATCCATCCAATTGGAACTTCAATGATGACTGTGAAAGAATGAGGCCTGGAAGTGAAAGGTTTTTTCAACACTCAAAATCTTAGTTCTTATCATTATTCTTATTATTCTTATTATTATTAGTTCCAGATGTTGCAGAACTCTAAATTACAAAAACAACTTAACTTTGTCACCTTGAGAGTAATTAACTTAATAAGTTTCATATTGAATTTCAATAACATATTGTCGTACAGCACTAAATCAAAGCCTTAATTTTTCCAGTATCTACTGTATACAGAAAAGTAATAAATAGTTCATGTTTAAATGCAGTAAGTATTCATGTCCACCAATAATTTAATTCATGAATGGTATTAGCCAAGTCAGAATATTATTAAATTGTATTTTGAATGAGATTGTGAAGAAGGGAAGTGGGGAGAAATTATTATAGTCAATTTTACTTTGCTTTTTGACATATATAAAATTATTTATAGTTTCAATTATCTTAAAACCTATGTAAAATTCAGATTTACTAACTACATCTGACAAAACTCCTTACACTAATGTTGATGTCTATTTGGTCCAGAACACTGAATGTTGTTAAACAATGAAACAAGAATTAACTTAACATATTCTGTACCTATCAATGCTGCATATGTACTGTTACGACTTTATTGAAGTAGAATACTCTAGTGAAACAGATCATTTCCAACATTTGATTGTGATCGTTGCTGATAAGAGTTACAATTATACACACCAGGTGCAGTTCTAGTGTACTGTTCTACGTAGTCCCCAACATGAATCTTCTTGCCAATAGGAATGGTGGGGAGAGAACCACGAATTTCTGCTTCCATACGCAGTTGGTCAAATACATCAAGTCCAAAGTAAATCTGGCGAATTGTCACTTTGTGTCCCGTTTGTGGAAATGTTATATCGGCTGTATGGTTGAAAATTCCTCCTGAAATGAGTCATTTTTTAAAGATTTATATAGAAATATGCTCTTATCTCTAATTAATTACTTCACTATATATAATACATAATGTATAAAATATAATTATGTCTACTTATGATTATAGTTTAGTAATAAGAATGTATTAACGACTTAGGAATTCTAATAAACCCAGATGGTGAGAGAGATTTGGAAAATAACAGACAAACAAATAAGTGACATAATATATAGAAATTTTGTGAGTGTGTATTTGAAATCATAAAAAATATGGGTTAAACCAAGTGGTAAAATAGGGAGTGAGATATGGACATGAGTTGGCAGAGTACTACTGCTGCAGTAATGGAATTTCAGACTGATACTATCTTGAAATAAATTTAATATAATTTATTTCTGAGCATACGTTGTTAGGCAGAACACTCGTGGTAAACAGACTGCACTGTATGATTTGAGCTTTCAATACCAAACACTAAAATGTTTATCTACTCAACATATCATTTGGTTACCACCTGGAAACACAAGTGTGAGTTTTACATGTATCAATCATAACTTTCTATTCTGTTGACCATTCAGCATTAAACATTTCAGGTGGCTTTAAAAATTATGAATTTGTCCACTTCTGATATACAATGTCCTTTATCAATGATCAATGTATACAAATCACAGTTATTTCCAAACACAGCCGGCAAAACCTGATGATGGAACATTCTTATCAAGACATATGCCCAAATATGACCATAGATATTTAAGTTTTTGTTGATCATCTACAATACTATAATATTCATCACTATCATTATCATCATTATTCTGTCAGTGTTGAAATCATCTCTATTTGTTTTCATCAATGTTGACATCATAATATTTGTCCCCTTATAGCAAACCTACTAGATGCCCACCTGTAAGTTCATAACCATTGACTGCCTTGCTTACAGGTCGTGCAAACAACCAGCCAATAACTCCACCCAGTACATTCAGGGTTTGCATGTCATAGCCAATGTCTTGGGAAACATGTGACAGCGCTGTGTAGGTCCGCCCATCAGTGGTCACGACATAAGACTGCAGGTCTTGCTGAGATAACTCCTGACCATTCAATGTGCCTATAATCTTTCCATTCACTCTTAGGGGAATCTCTGCAAAGAAAGAATTTCATAATACAGTACCTTCAGCATGTTTATAAGCCAAATTTTTTAAATGATCCAAGATGACTGATGAAGGGCCAGCTATTGTTGTCATGAACAGAGTTGGGTGACATCTTTACTGCGTTGCTATTTACTGGAAGTAAAAATCCCTGATGACGGAAAAGATGGTGATGGAGGCAGCGTCTTCTGGGTTATTGCGCTGTGTATTATATTATGAACTTTCATAAAATGGGAAATGACAACTTTATTGCAGACTTAACTGAATGCCTAATTCATAGTTCACACATTCCATTTTGAGACTTCTTGACACATTTCAATCATAGGAGCCTTCAGATCATAAATGACAGTCACTGAAATAAATTCAAAAATTTGTACTTATGCTATTACAGAAAACAGGAATAATACCTTCTTTCAAGCAGTTGAATCCATTACCAAAGTAGCCATGCTGACAGATACAGCAGAAACCTCCATTTTGATAGTCGACACAGCTGGCTTTACTATGACAGGTTGTGGCTCCAACAGAACATGTGTCTGTTGTGGTGGCCTCACCTATAAGACAACAAAAATAAAGCTCTTTATCTGTCTCACAACTGCAATTATAGGGAGTGTCAGAAAAATGTTCATAATAACAATGGGAGTAGATAGAACCTCAAAATGAAATTAAAATGTTCAAGGAATGAGGAGGGGGAGGGGGGAGGGGGAG